GAGGGAGAGAGAGGGAGAGAGGGGGAGAGACAGAGGGAGAGGGAGGGAGAGGGAGGGAGAGGGAGCCGGGGAATGTAGCTCAGTTGGACTGTGGGTCATTTCCCAGTGATGTCCGAGCAAAAGAAAGATATGGAAGTTGGAACTCAACAGTAGATACATCATAAATCTTTATGAGACTGCCGTTGTATTTCCAGTATCTATGTTTCTCTCATTAAAATTCATGCACATCTTTGATCTAGGAACTGCAGAAACTTAGTCTACTGCTCTTTTCATTAAACCTTCAGCATTTCAAACTTGTTTTTTTTCTTGAGATGGGGTCTTGCAATCTAGTTCAGGCTGGCCTTGAATTCACTATGGAGCCCAGGCTGGCCTCTAACTTGCAGCAATCCTCCTGCCTCAGCCTCCCGAGTGCTGAGATTCTAGGCCTGTACCACCTTGTCCAGCAATGCCTGAAATTCTTTAGCAGACTTTCTCTACCTTCCCATGCCTGGGATGGGTCCTGAGTGCTACTCCGCTCCTACACACTGAATTGCTGTGTCAGCTCCCACCAGCTGTCCTACCACCTCCTCTATGCTCTGCTTCTTGGGAAGACTGTATTTCCACATTTGCTGGACTACTTGAGGCCATTTTTTAAAAAGGCCCTCACATTCCCTTCACAGATCACTGGGTGCCAAACTAAACTTGTTAGTTCCTTAAGGATAGTAAGAGTAGAAGCTACGTCTATGAATATAGCGGCACGTTTACCTACATAAAATCGTCAGAGCTACACAGGTTGACCCCAATCTCTTTGCATTTGGTTCATTTTCTATGCAGTCTGACAGCTCGTTGGTTCTTGCCGGCTATTAACGAGATCGTCAGACTGTCTGAGGTAATGCAAGGCTGGAGTACAATTTGCACTGTATCCTCTCCTCCTTTCTGCCCGCAACAGTCCTTTTCAGACTGTGGATACGAGTCACGTGAGGATCCCGTTGAAATACCGATTCTGGTTCAGGCAGTCTGGGGCAGAACCCAAAATTCTATGGCAAGCTTCCCCGTTTTCGACGCTGCCGGCTGGTGGAGCCAACTTTGAGTAGCAAAGCCTTAGAGAAAACACAACCTTTTTTGTCACTCTTACCCGGCCATTTTCTGCTCACCATCTACCTCCTCCAAAGGTCTGCGGAGTCTGGTGCTACCAATGAGCACTCTCCTCTCTCGAATCTTCCATCACTGCCCACTTACGTAACACTTACTCATGGCCAGGTACTGTTCTAAGCATTTAACACGTCAACTCATTTACTCCCCTTAACAACTTCGAAAGGCAGGCCCTGCTGGCACTGCGACTTTACTGATGGGAGGTTCAGTAACTTCCCGAACAAACCATCAGCCCACATGGCCTCTCATTACTCCTCATCTTCGTTACCTCTCTAAAGCTGCTTACTATGTCCTCTAACCTCCGTCTCTGAAACGCTGCTCAACCTGGCTGTTTGCCAGTGTTCTGAGACTTCCTGTTCACTCTCCTTGGCTGACCCCTTTTCTTGTCCTGCTCTTTCAATCCCATCACTAGTTCATACCCTTCCCCGTCTCCCATTTGAAAAGTGACTCCTAGCTCAGTTTCTTTCCTCTGACCTATTCCTACTGCAACCTGCACGCGCACGTCCCTCTTCAACCTGGTTACTCCCACCCACCGAGCCAAAGTTCTTCACCCTCCAAAGCCCTTCCCCACTCACCCCCATCTCCCCTATCGTGGACCCTGACTTCCCCCCATCCCATCGCTCATGCCCTACCCCCACCACCTTCCCGCCTGTCTCTGCAAAGACTCCTGCTTCCACCACCTTCATTCGCTTAGCAAGTACTTATTAGCAACCCATTATGGACCCATAATGGGGAACAGAAAATAGGCATTGCTCTAACACCATGATGCTTGCTGTTAAGTAAAGGTGTTGGGCATTTGTCAAACCACACAAATTTTGTAACATACATCAGGAAACTCCAAGACAAGAAGAGAAAATGAGTTTTCTGAACCTGTCCATGTTCACAAGGTTCCAACGCTCCAGCTCTAGGAAATTCCCCTTTGGCCATGCTCTGCACCCCCTCGGACCCTTTCACCCCACCCTTCCCCACACCACAGGCCTGCTGTGACCTTCATTTGGGCACATCTTGTACATGAATAAACTCAGTTTCCTCTCTTCCTTTCTTTACAAGCCATATAGACCTGGTTTTGAGAACACTGTGAGTAGGTAGAGAGACCACATGGTCACCCAAAACTCTTATTCAGCCCTATGCTTTCATTCAACATGGTGTGTCACTGAAGCCAGGCCCTGTGCATGCTGAGCAAGCACTCCACCACTGCAGCTACACCTCGAGCTCTTCAAAATAGTATTTTTAAGTGAGATTACTTACCCGAGTATAAGAAACTGTCCAGGCGCTGGAAGACTCAGTTGAATAGAGTCTTTTAAAAGTATCAACAGTGACGCCCAGCTATCTACTAAACTGGGCACGGGAATTCTGCAAGATAAATGCAGTGTGTGTATACAGAAAGCCACAATACACTTTAATTTTCTTGGTATCATCCTAAAGATTCTAACATATTTTCTATTACTTATTCAGAAGCACTCTTTTACAGATGACTGCTGGCCCATTGCAAGTTCCAGGGCGAAGTCCACGCAGCTGAGACCTGGTTGTTTACCTGGTCACATACTATAGATAACAGGAGGCAGATGAATCTTGCACTAGTCTGCTTGCTCACCTAAGAGGAGAAAAGGTGAGCCAACTACTCAGGGCTCTCTGTCCAGTACAGTCAAGAGACCCTTGGCCCCTCCGCATTCTAAACTAACTCTGTGTCTTTTCATCTTTCATTTCTGGTCCCCTGAACTCTACCCCCACCCCCCGCATCAAGGACAAACTCTTACGCTGGTTTCCTACAGACAACAGTAAAATAAAACTTGTAAAGGCTTTACATTTTCTACTAATCCATAAGACGATGACTAAGCACACTGAAAGTAGTACCATTTCCTAACCTAGAAACTTTGCCTTAGAAATATGTTACCACATGAACTCTCAAAAGTAAAATAAAACTGCAATAATTCTCAGCTAGTAACTGTCAAATATTCCCTATCCTGGTCTATCTCTCTTATGTTTTTCTTCATCTGTAAGTCTGCACCTCATGTTAGGGAGGGGTTTCTATCTATCCTGAACATCAATCTCCCACCTGTAAACAAATTAATATGATTTTTGTTTCAGTCTAACTTTAACTGTAACACCTCTCTGTATCTAAATTCAGATTTTGGGCAATCCTCGCTCTAAGTTTCAATCAATCTGAATATATGGAATACCCTCATTTTATAAATGTTGGTCATAAATCACAAACGCATACCAAATGTGGTGAGTAAAATGAGACTTCCTGTAAGGGAAGACTAACCAAGATTCAGTTTTGCAAGTGAGAGCTTTATCAAAACTCAAATCCATTAACTTCATGGAACTCCAAACAAGAAGACATTTTCATGTTATTTCTAACCCTTTTTTAAAAGCCAAATTGGACTGCTGCATGTTCACTTCTATCAAAATATTAATTCAGTGGCAATAAGCATGGCTTTAAAAGTAGGTTCAGCTTTTAACTTGTATTTAAATGATTTTCTTATGATTCACTGTTTTAACATCCAGGTATCTGCAGTACCTTTAGGTCTTTTGGCTTGAAATAGCTGTACAGCAGGGACATTAGGATATGTACGATTTTAACTAAGATAGCCATAAACAATGTTCTTCAGTTTCTTGCATTTATTCTTTTAACTTCAGGAAAACAAACCAAAAATCTAAGCCCTCACAACTTCTTGAAGGAGCTCATGTGCTTTTCCTCCTATATTTTCTAAACTTTATACGTTGTGAATGAAGAAAAGGAAGATCTACATTAGTGACCTTACCTTTGAATATAAGCATAGAAAAACTGAAGCATGCAGACTTCCAGAGAAAGATGTTTCTATGAACAAAAGCAATCAATTAATAGTGAAAAAAATGCTGCCTTTGCTTTTTCACTGTTGTAAATACTCTGTATCTTATTGCCAGTTTTTAATAAAAAATTAAAATCAAATACTAGTTTATCATTTTAAAAAGCCCATGTAGCTCTCTTTTACTTACTAGAATAAATTCATAATGTAAGAGCTATTTAAAAGTTAAAAATAGATGAAGAATTATAAGTCTTCCTGTCATCAAAAACTGACATTTCTCCAATGACTCTGAAATGATCATTCACTCTGTAAGCATCAGGATTATTATTTTTCTTTCCTTCTTGTGGTACTTGGGCTTTGTGCATGGTAGGCAAACACTCCACCACTGAGTTATGGTCCTAGCTCTCAGAAGTATTTTTATTTATTTATCTTTTAATCAGCTTATGCTTGGTGCTATCAGAATTAGGTTCACACTTTATTAAATATGTACTTAAGACTGCTTTATTATATATATGATTAAATTAGTGCTTAGTTCAAATTTGGTTCATTCTTAATAGCTGAAAATGGAGTCATTAAAGAGTATGAGTGTAGCATATAATAAATAGAATATACCTCCACTTGAAAATGATACTGATGTCTACTGACATTAGCTAATTTGTTCTTTTTTCATCCAACTATAGTATTTCCTCAAGGGCTTCCCTCTCATGCCACAATGAGACATAATGTGTCTAATATATTCAAGCCTAGAAGGGGGCACCCTTTGAAGCAGGAGCAGAAGTGACTTATGTCTTTATAGCCCTTATTTATAGCCCATTGTCTATGTCCAAATATTATGCTGAATTGAACTTTCACATGAATACTAAATATCCTACAAAAATGCTCCACATGTGCTTTGAAAATAGCCAGGAAATTAGTGAAAAGTTAATAAGGAGGTTGGGGGTGCAATGAAGTGATATAGTGTTTGCCAAGTATGTTTTAGGCTCTTGGTTAAATTCCCAGTACCACAGTACACACACATACAAACAATCCCAGCTGTGTCCAAAAAAAAATGTTTATAAGGACGCTATTTATATATATATATATATATACACACACACACACACACACACACTTTTTTCTTTGGCAGTTGAAGAAAAAGATTTTTAAAAAGGAAAAAAAGAAGTCAACATTTTCAGCTATATGTAATAACTCTTTTAAAGATATGATTATGTCTACTGAGAAACCACTCTGAAGATACCACCACGTATTACAGCAGCCATTGATATTTTCCTACTAATCTATCCATAACTGTGTAAAGTTTGTAATGTTCCTATCCTATTTCATAAATGGATGTATGTTTATTATTATGTGTTTCCTACAACAACCATTGAGAATAGTTAATGATTTTTCAATAGGTCACTCATGTATACCTCTATTTATTTTCTTTAGAAGCCACTTTGAAGATACCAAAGTATAGTACAACAACTCTTGATAATCTCCTACCTCTTTTGTCTGTAACTCACTATTATTTGTCTATTTGTTTTCCTGAGAAACTATTTTGTAGACAATAATATGTAAAATGATAACCATTGATAATTTCCTACCATTTTGTCTGTAATTTGCTAAGTCCCCCCTATTATTATGTTATCCTTCTTTTATTCTTTAAAATAAAAAAAAAATTTAAAAAAAAAGATATGATTATGTCTAATTTTGGCTTGACTCAAAGTTTAATATTTGCAATTGGTTAAATCTTTTCTAAAGAAATGCAACGTCAGCTGGGTCTGGTGGCGCATGTCTATAATCCCAGCACTCAGGAGGCTGAGGCAGGAGGATCCTTGCGAGTTTGAGACCAGCCTGGGCTACAAACTGACCTCAAGGCCAGCCTGAACTGCATTGCGAGACCCTGTCTCAAAAAGACAAGTAAATAGAGAGAAAGAAATGCAACGTCTTGCTATTGCTTGAATCAAGGCGGAAAAAGTAGAAGTCTGTAACTTTCTAGAAGACTAACTAGAATGGACTAAAGACTGATTTGTAGGTTTTCAAACTCACCTAATTAGAGACACAGCACCATGAGTGGAGACTATGTCATTTGTTTTCTGTATTCCTTAGACAGCTTACCGTTGTACATGGTCAGGAAAAGACACTGTCTAGAACCAAGGTTATGGAAAAACTTGGGAGCATTTCTTTTCTAAAAGGGACATTTAGAAAAGAAAGCATTGATGAAGCTGTGTAAATGCTAAATAAACACTCGGCCCTGGCTTCTGTGTTTTCTCTTTAAATATTCAGAAAAATCTCCCCTAAGAATTTGCTCATTCAGTTCCTTACTACCTTTGATGTATGAGCAATGACTGCTTTTCTCAGGTTATAAGAATGATCAGAACAGTGACTACAGGTTGTGTGTGTCTGTATTTGGTCACAGCAGTGATATGGCGTCATCTTGACATTCTGCTCTATGGTTAAAAGGACAGGAGTACACAGAAAAATATCTCACCTATCAGCAACATTTCTAAAACTGAATTGCAAACAAGAGCAAAGAAAAGCTTTCTCACCTTGTCCTTGGCTATGGCTGGAGGCTGCTTCACAACTTCTTTTACAGTCTGGATAACCGTTTCTGTTCTCATGACACTGATCGAACGAACTAGTTCCACTAGTAAAAGCTGCTCTTCACTGGCAGCAGGAATAACCTGGAAAACACACCGCTGTATTTACGTATGTGCGTGTAACGGATTTTCAGAGAATTCATAGAATTCACAGAATATTGTATGGCCCTTTCTTAATATAAAGAAGTCACTTGACCATTTCAGGTGAAATTTATTTAAAAATGTAATAAATATACATCAATTAAAAAGTTCAAAATAAACAAGGACAAAAAGCCTTGTAAAAAAAATGGCAGCACCTTGTCCTATCTCTTCCCACAATTACGCTCCATTCTTTTCGTTATTTTCTATTATTCCTAAATAACATGTAGCATTTTCCCTAATTTTAAAAAACTTTTAGACATTATCTATTGATTTCTTCAGGAAATGGATTTAACTTTCTTACATTTTTGTCCTCTTTTGCCAACAAAATATAACTTTATTTAAATCAGTACCGAGCATTCACATGACTATTACGGTTGTGCTATATATTGTACTGCATCTCTTCTTGTACAACTTCTTGCTTTTCTTAGAGGGAATAAACTGCCTTTTTGGGGTTCCTTTTCTATATATCTATCACAGATTTGTCCCTAAATGTGCCAACAACTGTTAATCGCTAATCGTGAATTCAAGTATCCAGGTAGATTAATCTTCTGCCTTTTCCTCCTCCTCCTCTTCTGTATTGAAACCCCTATTTCTTGGATCCCCACCTTCCTGCCTCTTCGTTTATTTCTCCCTGTGGAGCTGCATCTTCTTTCACGCTGCACGGCTGAAAATCCCGAGTAATAGTTTGGCTACAGAATTACTGGTTCAGACTACTTTCCCATCAAATTGCCACAGTTCCTATTAACAAGGTTTTATCACTGTTCCTTTGAACGGGACCAGTAGTTTTTCTTCACAACACTGTAAGGTCTCCTCTCCCCTCCCAGTGTTCCGAAAGTGCACGCTGATTTTTGTGTACACACCTTTTCACAGTGTTGGACATAATCTGGAAATACCCTTCACTGCTGAGGATTATCTTACATTGTATTTTTCTCTTATTTTGTTCTTATTTCTGTGAAAAAAGATATTGCGCCTCCAGTACTGATCCCTGCTTTTCTTACCTCTTTTCTCCTATTTCTTGTATCTTTAGACTTTTATTCCACTTCAAATATTTATCCGCTTTCTTTTCCAATCTTTCTGTGATATTGCTTTGAGTCTGCTACAGAATTAGCATCTAAGAAAATTTCACATTTTTGGAATTTACATTATTTATATTTTGGAATAGTACAATACACAGCACAGCCATAAATAGTCATGGGAATCCTGGATACTGATTTAAGTATCCTATCTCATGGATAAACAGGATTTCATCCCTTGAAAGTTATTACTAGCTTTATTCACATTTTTCTGTATTACAGGCATTGCTTGACTCTTTAAATCTAGTTTAAATGTGAGAATTAATCATGTCTAAATGTGAGAAGTAACACGGCTAGTGTTCACAGAGCCGTTCTTAGATGACGGGCACTGACCTATGTGATTTTCCCTTCCTCGCTCCTTCCCTTCTTCCCTTTCATCCTTCCCTCTCCTCTCCTGCCTTTCCCTTCCTCTCTCCTGCCCTCTCTCCCTTCCTTTTCATCCTTTCCTTCCTTTTCTTTCTTAAATACATACAATCCTTCAAAATAACATCTCTACCCTGCAGTCACATAGCTAGTGAATGCAGAAGCTAGGATTTGAATGTCATGGCCTAGCTTCAAAGTCTGGGCTCTTAAGCACTATGCTGTTGTTTTCCTTTTAAAAAGTTTTGGATTTTGAGGCATTTCAGAGTTTTGGATGAGGGATGCTCAACCTCATTTTTTGAGCATCACGCCAGTGCTCAAGAAGTTTCAGACTTTAGAATATTTTGCATTTCAAATGTTCCAGTTAGGGATGCTCTACAGGCAAAGTCTATGCAGTGGTTCAAGCTTGCAGGACTGAAAGAATTCAAGTAAGAGCCACCTGGGAGGGAGAGATGAATTACAGCCCCGCAGTAAACATGTTACATTCTGCCTGTGTGAACCTCATGCCCTAGGGTGCAGGGTGCAGAGACTCTTGATAAACTCAATTCCAGCCTCCTGCAGGATAGGGTAGGAAGCCCGTGTGGATAGGCTGGAGGAAGGGATCTAGAAGGCATCAGATGTTTAGGTAAGCTTTCAACAAGTTCTCCAGATTCCAGCCCTGTCTGAATTCTGAATTGAGAGTACAGCACCTCCTCCTCCTCCTTCAAGCACCATCTGTGGTTTTACAGCAGGACCTGGTTTCCCTCTTGCGGACAGAGAGTCACTATACGCTCTTCTCCGCTGTGTTCCAACTCAGCCAGACATTCATTTTGCCTCTTGCAAAATTTTGATTACACTTATTTTTCCAAGATCACACTCCCACTGTTTTTGTCATTGTGAGTTTATGACTTTTTAAAATTCATTTTCTGCATTTCTTGGGCAAGAACTCTTGGCTATTTTTAAGTAATCTGGAATTTCCATTCTGTCCAATATGAAACCCAAAACTACATCTGCACATGCAAAATAATGTAATATGAGAGAAGTATTTATTTTATTTTATTTGTTTTGTTTTGTTTGGTACCAGGAATCAAACTTACAATCTTGTGCTTGCCAGACAGGCGCTGTGCTGCTGAGCTACATCCCCGGCTCAGAAGTACTTATTTTTATTGTTTAGAAATGTAAGCTTGCATTATGTGAAATGAACACAAAAATAACAAGTCTTTAGGTGCAGAAACTACGTATTTTGTATGTTATTTAACATAATAGCATTGCTATCATGTATCATGATTTATTTCCATATTAAACACTGAGATTTCAAACTCATAAAGCAAGCAGTAAATTTTTCACATTTCATTCAATCAAAACCAAATGAATTACATTTTAGAAGTAGTAACTGAGTTATCCCACTATACTCAGATGAAAACTTTAATTCTTATGTAGTACCCAGAATGACCAGCACGTAAATACTGTTATCGTACTACCATTTCTATCTAAAATATAGTGACAATTTTATCACTATACTAATTTCTCATTTTTTAACATTAAATAATGCTTTTTAGAGTTTTGCAATATTAGAAACTGAACCTAGGGCCACATACATTTTAGAGCAAGCACTTTACCACTGATTTATAACTCCACTACTAAAATAAAAGAATTAGGCAATACGTCATTATCAAAACCTCTAGATAAACCTTTCCTTTTGTACCTACTTCAATCTCATTATGATTTTTGGAGAATTAACACCAGCATGCATGCACTAACTGGAAATGTGATTACCAATGAGAAAAACAAAAAGTACCTAGTAGTTAAATACATACCCTGGTTCGGGTAGTGGTTTTGTTGTGTCTTCTTTCATTCCATACAAATGCAATGGCAGCCATGAAATGAACACCATGATTCATTGAAATAGGACCCAATAATTCAAGGATCTGTTGTCTCAAGTTCTAAAACAATTTAAAAAATCACAAGTAAAAAGCTATGAAAACAACAACTATACTTAACTTATAGTTTTTTGTGAATAATATATGTTACTTATATGTCTCACTACCTAAGTAACAGTCCAGCAACCTTTAATAATTTTAAGAGCTACAATGTGTCTATTTTAATTCGAAAAGAAACACTATAAAATGGCAACTACCAATCAGCCAAATGCATATCCTTTTTTTTTTTTTTTTTTGGTTTTTCTCCAGTACCAGGAACCGAACTCACGACCTCGCGCTTGCCAGGCAGGCGCTTTGCCGCTGAGCTAAATCCCCAGCCTCGCCAAATGCATATCTAATCACTGTGAAGAGATATGAGAAAAACACAACATTTGAAATGCAATTTATTACATTTTAGAGTCTTAAAAACGCCCATCAACCAACAAATGGATAAAAAGATTTTTTTTTATACAATGGAGTACTGTGCAGCCATAAAGAAGGATAAACTTGGGACATTTATAGCTAAATGGATCAAACTTTTAAGTGAAATAAATCAAACATATGTGTAAATATTGCATTGTCTCTCTGGTGTGAGAAAGTGAAAGTGTAAATAAGAAGCAAAATGCACAACAGATATTGTGAAATAGGAAGCAGAGGTCCAAAGAGAAAGGGGAACTGGGGAAGATATACAAGGGAAAAGAAAAAAATGAGAAAAAAGGCTAACATGAAACAAAGCTCTGTAAACGCAGGGAAGCGGGACTGACGAGAGGGGAAGGGAACGGGAAAGAGAACTAAGACATACACACGCACAGGCACAAACTCCCTCTGATGAACGGAGCCACTAAGCATCTCTACACTGTACCAAGCACTTAATTATAAAAAGGGGACATTTTACACTTACAAAGCACTCTTTGTGTTTTATGTTCATATAGAATGAAACAAAAAATACAGCTGAAACACAGGTACCCAGAGCACATGTGCTAGTGGCTGCCGCTTTCCTCTACCCCAGCTCCTTGTGTACTCTCACAAATCCCAGATCTAAGAGGTTAGGCCCAGGAAGAACATTAGGTTACTGAGGAATGTCAGTCTGGCAACTGACAAATAATGACAACCTTCACATAGTGTTAAAAACACAAAGCTGACGGGCTGGGGATGTAGCTTGTTGCAGCCCAGCGTCAGCCTGGCAAGCGTGAGGTCCTGAGTTCAATTTAAAAATATCTATATACATATATAAAGCTGAAAATCTGAAAAATTCCAGAGTACAAAGAAGAAAACTACTATGATAATAACTCTGGGGGCTGGGGATTTAGCTCAGCGGCACAGCGCCTGCCCGACAAGCGCAAGATCGTGAATTTGATTCCTGGTACCAAAGGGGCGGGGAGTAACTCTGAACAGATGAACTTTATTCTTTGCAGAGAATTTTTACAAAACTAAAAATATAAAAGTTGTTCAATTATGTAACATCGTTTTACTGTACTTTTGAGTACTTTTCTATCCAATAAGAATTACTCAGACTTTAGTAGCTAAATAATGGAACAGTGAGAAGACAATTTAACCATTTCCTTATTCATCATTCAGGATCTTTCTTCCATTAAATAATGCTTCAATGAACACTATGCCTAACTTTGATTACCTTAGAATTCATTCCTAAAGCAGATTACTAGAATAAAGACTATAAAACTTAAAGCCCTTTGTACACACTGATAAAACTATTTTCTTTTTTTTTTTTTGGTTTTTCTCCGGTACCGGGAACTGAACTCACGACCTTGCGCTTGCCAGGCAGACGCTTTTGCCGCTGAGCTAAATCCCCAGCCCCTGATAAAACTATTTTCCAGAAAGGTTTTATTAAAATATAAAAAAGGAACAAAGTTATAGCATGCAAGAATGAACCTCAATAAAAGAAGCTAGACCAAAAAAGACCAAATACTGTTTTGCCCCTGGGGTATTTCTATGAAATTCCCAGCTATATCAAATTCCTAGATAAGGAAAATAGCAGTCAATTGGGTTTAGGGATGGGAATAGGAAGTGAGTATAAATGGGCATGCACACTCTTCTTGTAGTGAAGGACAGGATTGAAAATTGGATTGTGTAGCTTTACAACTTTATGAATCGTAAAAACATCACAGATTTGTAGAGCTAAAATGGGTGAATCTTGTAATATGTCAACAGTATCTCAATAAAACTGTTATTTGATAATTACTTAATCTATATAGAGTACCATAATACTGTAATTATGCATACATTCTGAATATAATCTTGGGGCTGGGGATTTAGCTCAGAGGCACAGCGCCTGCCTGACAAATGCAAGGTGGTGAGTTTGATTCCCAGTACCGGAAAACAAACAAAAAAATACTGAATATAATCTTGAGCAAAACCCTCAAATAGACTTTCGAGCACTACAGATGGTGAACTGTCCAACCTTTGTAGCTCCCAGGTTAATAGTGGTGACAGATGCAGACGCAGCAACAGTCATCTTCTCTGAAGCATCAGCCTGATGCAGTATACTCCAAAGTAACGTCACGGATGACATGATCATGTGAAGGATTGAGAGGATTCCGCTGCGCGCTTTAAACAAGTGTTTTTGGTCTACACTGACCAAAAGCTATTAAAAGCAGGGGAAAGAAAACATTTGCGTTTACAAGGAGTGGCTTACTGAACCACAGTCTTTAAAAAACAGTCAAGTATTTACATATCCTTACTTGATGGTACTGTGTAGTTGGATCCAACAAACAGTAATGGATAATGGCTGTGATCCCTTCCAAGAGAGTAAGAATCATATCTGGTGGAATAACTGATGCCGTCCACAAAGGCCTGAATGAAATATATTCATCTGAACACAGGTTGTGTGAAAGCACAGTTCATATTTTATCACTCGTAAATATCTGGCATTTGCTAAGCATACAACAGGTGCTCAGTAAATACATGAAGAAACAACTAAAAGCATAAATCAGGGGCTTTTTAATTTCCTATTCTATCAAATAAATTTATCGAAAGTAGAGTTCGTTTTGGTTAAAGAATTGGGGGAGCAACAGGATTTTTATTTATTTTCAGGTAAATGTCTGTGATTCCTTTTATATATGTAGTGTGTATGTGTATGTATATATAATATACACGTGTACACATACTTACATATATTTATGCATGAGTCAGAGATACAACAAGTTTAATATACCAGACAAAAGTAGGAAAACTCTTTGCACTTCCTATTACTTTTGCCAGCTGAGTCAAGCAGGCCATAGGGCCACTCAATCTTGTCACCTGACTGGATTAGGACTCCTGAAGAGGCAACTAGGTCCTGGGGGCACTATGTCACTAGTGGATTAATCTGTGTATGCTCACAGGGTCACTGTGCTACTGGGAGACGGGTGTACTCGAAGGCGGGTCACTGGGGAAGTGCCTTTGGAGGGCTCATCTCCTCCTGGCACTTTCCCCCCCACGCTATGCTTCTTGGCTGTCATGAAGCAAGCAGCTTTGGTCTACCATGGTCTCTGACTCAGAGCCAGTCATCATGGATCAAATGTTTGAAATCTTGACCCATAATAAACCTCCCCTCCTTCACATTGTAGGTATCAGCCACTTCGTCCCAGCAACAAAAAAGCTAATACAATCTTCAAAATTAATTGAAGGGAGACAGAAGGGGTGTTTTAAGTATTTTTTCCCTGTCCTAGTCTATATTCTTTGACTGATACTCTTCCTCAAGCTGAATTTTCATGAAAATAACAAGCTATCTGTGAACTACTGAAAATGACTAATTTTTTCTTTCTTTTTTTTCTGGTTCTGGGGAGTAGGATTTTGGTGCATGCTCAACACGTATTCTACCAAAGAGCACCTTCGGTCCTACTTGTGAATAACCTTTTGCCTATTTAGTCAGAGTCATATATGTGAAAAATGTCAATGACAACGAAGTTAAAAGGAACCCTTACCTGCTGTCAGACAATCCCATTTCATATCTGTACTGCTGAATTAGATTGTCCAAATTTCTGCACAGCTGCAGTGTCACTGAGACAACCACTCTCTGGAGGACTTTTCCCATGTAAGGCAGAGTAGATGTGATCAAACCAATCCACTGTGGGTGCATTTTACATACACAGTGTTGATGCAAAGCTCGAATCACTGCACAGAGGAACATGCCTTGGCACGTGATTGGCTGAGCCTGCAAATACTGAAGAGACGTCATGGGCTGGTGGGGGCTGATGTGTTCCAGGTCAGACACAACAAAATCAAAACCCGCTTCATTCTCTTCAGGAAGAGTCATTACTCGATGCTCTAGAACAATCAGCCTCTGAAGCACCTTAAGCAGTTGTGACTGAAGCGTGCTGCCACTGTCGAACTCGTCTTCCGAGAAGTTGATGAGGCTGTCCTCTGAGAAGCCTTCCTCCACGGCGGCCAGGTTCTTACCTGCCATCTTTTCACTGTGCCACTTCTGTGCGCTGAAGATAGACGACAGCAAGCAGTGAAGAATCACTTTCTGAACCTTGCATTTCGATAACATATCAGAGATAAAGCTTGGGAAACCTTTTGTGGAGTTCTCTATTACTTTTGCCAGCTCAGTAAAGAGGAGAGTCAAAATTTCTATGCTCATCATCTGCATGTTTCGATTGCCTATTAAATCCTGGGCAGTAACCTTGACATGCGTTGGGTAGTGGCTACGCACATAATATAAACAGAGGGAAATAAGAATTTCTATATACATAGAACTCCGGAAGTTGTGATTGGAGTCCACCGGAATGTGACTATAGAAGTCTTTGCCCATAACGGAGATCCGGTGTCTGGCCAATAGGTTCTGAAGCAGGGACAGCTGCGGTGTATACACATTGTTCACACTAGTGGTTGAAATGGCATTTACAAAAGCGACAGGGTTAGTTTTCAAGATGGCTTTGATGGCAGAGAAAGCATAAAGAGTCCTTGATGAGTCATACAACTGGAGATACAGTAGCACATGCTGATAGAGAGGATGGATGTTGAAATTGGGAGATTTCCGTGATCCCGGAGAACCCATGTCACTTTCAATCTCAGAAATTTCTCCTTCTCCACAGCTATACCAATTTTCTAAATCCAGACCATCACTAAAGAATACACTGGTTTGTTTGAGTTTTTCATTGGACGGTTTTTTCTTGTCATCATCCTTTTTCCTGGCAAGTTTTACTTTGGGCTTTGCTCCTGGTTGTTTACCTGATTCCTTAACAATTGTTTCTTTCTCTGAGACCTTTTCTGATAATTTCTCTTTAAAACTGAACTGAATACTACTATGACTCCTCTGCCTAGATTTGGCTTCTGTGGAAACAGCAGAAGAATCCTGGAGAGTCTGTGTGGTTCCTGAAATACAAGGTGAAGAGCTGTTTCTGGAGATCCCATTGGCCAAGAAGTACTCATGGTCTTCCTCTGCAGACACAGACAGAAACTGAGGACTTTCATTACTCAGCAAAGAACTTTGACTCTGCTGAGTGGACTGATCTTCATTTTTAGTAGCCTCTTCATTTAAATATAAATCACCACCCTTTGGGGGCGGAGTTTCCATTTCTAATTCAGATGTAATTGATGCAGATTCTGCTTCTAGGCCACTTACAACTTGACAGATCAGGTCAAACACGACCTGCTGAATATCGTCATCTGGGGACCGTGCTCTGGGCATGTGAGAGTCCTCCTGGGCATTCACATTTTCAGGATCAACTTCGTAACTCAAGTTGTCCCCAGCAGAGGACTGTGAACATCCAGAGTCAGAACTCTGAAGTATTTCTATTTGTTGGTCTGGAAGATCAAAATCAGAAACAACCATTGGAATTGTCTCACTGCTGGTACTTAGGAGGGAAAGTCTATCACTCAACGGATTAACAGTGAGACTGAAGTTCTCTATTTCATCCATGGTAAGTGGCTTTTCACCAGTTCCTTTTGATGCAATGAGTTGCACTTGGTTTACTGGCATATGACAAAAACAGTAAAAGGGGGAAAAAACCCAAAATATATTAAAATAAATGAAACATGGGAAGGTAAACTGAATTCAAAATTTTTCATAATTACTTTAATCACCTACTTTCTTATCATTTTAAAACTTAGGTCAGAAAATGATAAAGATGATCATTGAGAATCTAAACTAACAGTATATTTAATATAGACAAAATATAAAAATTATCTTTTTCCAAAAATGTGACATTCTTTTTACAGCAGGTTTAATTTTTTCCTCCCTGTATGATACTGTCCTTTAGTTACGCTGTTTCAGAGAACCCAAACAGTTTAATATATAAGCAAATGTATAAATAGATAATCTCCTTGATTTTGGTAAAACCCAACAAATATTAAAGAATTATCCAGTATCTGTAAGACCCTAATCTGGAAACAAGGAGGGAAGTAAGACACGTCAGTGTTCCTCTCTCAGGAGTTTAACACACTTCTTCCAGCCTGAGCTACAAGTGGTACATGTTTGACTGTCTCATTAGGGGTTTGTACCACCAGCGATATGTTCATGACGGGCCTTGCCCCCTAATGGGACAGTCAGGCATGTACCACCCATAGTTCGGACCCACCCAGCAGCAAGACATACAAATTATGGCCCCATAGTGAACTTGTTAAAATTAGTAGGAAACTGCCAATCCAGTCACCCATCTCTGTACTTTCTTGGAGCATACTACATTGATGGCACTCCTTTGGAAAATGTGGAAGGTTCAGTGCCATGAGTAGTACAAACCAAATGGTATGAAATTCATGTAATGACAGGTGAGGTCTGAGACCTCAGAGCAGTAGAATTCACCAGACAGGGACTGTGGCAGGTAAAGGACTACCACCAGGATGTTCTGGCAATGAGTCGAGTACAGAGAGTTCTTAGATTAGCCAAGCTAAGCGGCAGAAACCAGAGGGAGGAACAAAAGCCTCATAGAAAAAAACTAGAGACAGAAAAGGAGCATGATGGTTTGGTTCCAACCACACTATTTACCAGCTGTGGCACTTTGAGAAAGCCACAGTTTTCCTCAACATCAGCAATTTGCTTGGTGAAATAACCTTTTTATTAGTGACCTCATGAGGCTATTTGTCAAAGGATATAAGAAGACACGAGTCTTTCATTTCTAAAATATAATACAAAGCCATTATTGTAGTAGAGAGGGCATCACTTAAGAGTGTGTAAAGTGTGAATGTTGTAAGCAAGAATATCAAATATTTATTGAACACTTAGCATATCCCAGTCACCATACGAAGCATGTCACAATAAAGACTCCATCTCAAGTTTGTGTTATGGTTTGTGTCTGGATGTCCCCCCAAAGCCTCATGCAGTCATGGGGCGGGCTTCTAGAGTTTATGATTGATTCATGGTCTAATGATGGAACTGTAGATGTGAATGCTACACCTGCCCTGGGGTGGGTTGTTTGTATACAATGTAAGGGAGGCAAACAGGCTGCTTGCCTCCACTCCTCCCTTTTTGCTCTTGCTGCTTTTGCTGTCTTGTGCTGCCTTGAAGTGCTGCCCCTGTGCCCTGCCACCCTGCTTTAGGGCCAGCTGATTATGGACTGAAATTTCCATAAATTGTGAGCTAAATAAACCTTTCCTCTCTTAATTTTGGGCATTGGGTATTTTGTCTCAGCAATGAGAAAAAAGTAACCAAGGCAGTTTGTAACAAAGCCTTGAGTAGTGAATATTATTATTCCTATTTTATAGAGAAAATCAAACATAAAATAGAATGCATTACAGGCTTATTATAAATTCCCAGTGTAATATCTACACACCTGTTGCAGGATGAGGATTGCTAAATAAGCTCTAAAGGTATTTTCATCAAAATTATAGAACGTCTCTAACAGCAGCTGTGGCTAATTCCCCTACTGAGAAAGTTAACTAATAAAAGAGATCCAAAGAATTCTAAGACAGTCGTTAATGAAGCACATTTTGACAAGAGCCACACTGCATTGCTAGTACACGAAAAGGGAGGAAATAGCCATGGAGAAAATCACACATGCAATTCTTCGTCAATCTGTGTTGTGTTTACATCTCAGTTTGTTTTAATAACTTAATTCTAAATAAAAGCATTCTACTCTCATGTGATACTTACCATTGCTGCAGACAAAATTTTGCATGAAATGCTTGTCACTCTCTTCCCCCGGATAACAGGGAATCTTACTCCAATAACGTTCTGCTTGCACACGCTGCACGGAAACCCTCTGAGTTTTTGGATGAAGCAAGAGCAGCAGCAATGGTTCCAAAACCCTTGCGATATCATGTCTTTGAAGGACTTGGTTCAGCCAGGCTTGTCCCACAGAGCTAGTGGAACCATCGAGACTGTTAAGGCTGTCTAACATGATGAACAGGGACCTAAAATAAACGTCAGTAATTAAAACAAAGAACAAAACACCTTTAATTGTAACACTCTCATTTTCTGCAATTAACATTATTATAAATTGCATTTTTTTTACTAGCTATTTTAAGGTAATTATACTTTCAGGAAAACTTGTGCAGAGTATTTTTACCTTAATCTCAATAGACATAATGAAAAAGGAAAAAATAATTTTCCCTTTTTATACACTTGTGTTTTTAAAATAACACAAGAGTATATTACTTTCATAAGATGAAAAATAAAGGACAGAAAAAAACTTATTTAGTCTTGTTTTAGTTTATTTATTTATTTTTTGGTACTGGGAATCGAACTCATGACCTCATGCTTGCCAGGCAGGCGCTTGCACCACTGAGTTACATCCCCAGCCCTCTTGCTTTAGTTTAAGTGTGAAACTATTGCAAGTCAACAGGATTTCCACGATGATTACTGTTACTCTCTTCCCCGTCTCTTCTGAGTCAAAGCTATCTGCTTAATTGAAGGACAGATCTGTGAAAAGTATGGAGGCATACGTTGGGAGTTAGAAAACTTAAGATATAAGTATCTTGTGTGCTCTTTGGCAAACAACTTAACTTCTCTGGTCTTCCTTTACCTTATTGATAAGATGAAGTAGGGTGATTATCAAATTAGAAATGGTTATTTGTTCAGTACTGAGCCGAAGGCCTGGTTCAATGTAGGGCTTAATGTACGGTTCAATCACAGACCATTTGAAAATGGTGATGCTGGCTGAAAAAGCATCAGCTGAAACATAATGACCAATAGAGCACACATCAGATCCTAAAATGGGCTTTAAATAGAGTTAATGTGTGGGCACCTGTGCAACCTACAGATGCAGGTGCTATCTTTTGACAATATGTGAGTCTACCAATAAAGAGCAGTTCTTTAGAAGTTGATGCAAATGCCATTACTTGAATATGAGTTATATAAGTAGCTTTTAGCTCCAGACAAAATGCAAAACCACTTTTTAGCAACTACAAGTTCTTTGATTCTATTACAGGGGTGTGTCAGGGTTTTCAATTATAGATTTTATTAAGTCCAGTTCAGGCAGAAGACTAAAAATCATTGATTGAGAAATACTTCAAGGGGGCTGGGGATATAGCTCAGTGGCATAAGGCCTGCCTGGCAAGTGCAAGACCGTGAGTTCGATCTGCACGCGCGCACACACACTCACACCCACACCCACACCCACACAAACTGGGGAGAAACACTTCAAAACACACTGTTTATATGCAGTTTCACTGTATATGAATATAGACTCCAGAGCGGCCGTACCCACTGCTGTATTCTTGGCATCTAGAACGATGCCTGGCACACAGCAGGAGATTGATAAATTGTGGTTCAATGAAAGGAGAGGACACTGGGTACTCTAGAACTAGGAAGGGAAAATCTGATGGATAAACAAGACTGTCATGCACTTTAATAGAGCTTAGATTTAAAAAACTAAATGTTGGGGACCATGAATTATAAATTGAGCCTAGGGGACATCCAGGCTTGTTCTTCTCCTGCCCTTGAGCCAGACTGGAATGCAGAAATTCTCCACTATTTTCTGGTCCCAGCTGGAAGCCCTGGGGCTAATGACTGCTATGCTGCTCACAGGGCAAGATAAGACCTGCTGGAGACAACAGGCATCTGGGGAAACTACAGTTTCGTCCTTGTCTTTGTCCCTTTCCTTGGAAGAATGCTTCGTTCTTACTAGCCCACCACAGTTGCCATTACTGTTCCCAGAAACACCCACTGCCTCTTACCCATAGTCCTCGACTCAGCTGTAATGAATTACAGGGTTCTGGGTGACTCACGGCCTTCTGGTTCCCCCAGAACAACTGGTCATCCCAGATCCTTGCCTGCACCCCTACTTCGTCTCTTGCTCTCTTTCTTCCCACCATGTGCTGTAACTCCGGCAGGAGATCAGGGACTCACTGCAAGGTCTCCAATAACTAGTACCTTGGAAGGGGTTGCTAATAACTAAATGTTCAAAAACACTGTAAATTTCTATCCGCTACCCTGACCAACTAGAGAGATGACTGAATAAGAGGCAATAACCTATCTGACCACAACATTTGAATACAAAATATAACCAACCTGTCAAAAGAACGTGCAAAAGATGACTTATTTATGTGGAGATCCCTTGTTAGATGCCAAAGTACTGCAAACTTTGCATGTGCTTCCATCCTTATTTTCTGAGGAGGAATATGGGAGATTGAGTTATTTTATCTTCTTTTAAAGATATTAAGTGATTTTAGTAAAATCAAAGTAACTAGTAGTATTCTGTTCAATGCCCATAGTATTCAAATATACATTAGACTTTTATTACATTTTTATAAAGTAGAAAAATAGAAAATACAATAGAAGCACTAATACAAAAAGATCATCTAACTCTGAATTCAAAATAACCATTATTTTGTTTAAACTTTACTAGATTATTGTATAATAGGATAAAAAGCTAACAACGTACACAATCACATCTTTGAGTATAAAATTTTCTTCCCTCACTTTAGTATCAATAGTTTTAAAACTAATTTACTTTTTCTTCCAGAAATTATTCATCTCAAATGAAATTTTCATCAGTTCTCAAGCTGGTTTGTCATTTAAACACTTAAAAATTAAGCCAACAGAAGCATGTAAAAATAAAAGTAACAAAAGGTATTTTAATTTTATTCATGGAGATGAATATATATACATACACTATACACGAGCTTAGAAGTATTTCTTTAAATCTGAAATGTTACACAAGTAAAAAACAGTAAATAATCCATCCTGGATTTATATTTAATGTGAAAACGGAAATTTGCATGAGTTTGCTGATGGTGCAGCCCTATTTAGGAGGCTGAAGCAAGAGGGTCACATCTGAGGGGAGCCTGGGCAACTCGGTGAGACCCATCTCAAAAAAACAACCCCAGAATTTTATTTAATATTTTATTTCCAAACACCTTTGAAAGAATATAGGGAAGCAAAAATAGAATCATAACACTTCGTATTCCTCTCATTTACTCCTTCATTCATCACTTTCTTCTCTGCTAAGTCTTTATTTACCTAACATGACACCTTTTGAGATGTGATCTATTGAAATTCACTGGTGTTTCAGATTTTAAAAATCTACTTCCAAAATCTCTTCAAGATCACAAAAATTGCCCTGAGGACGTCAGTCAAAATGATTTTTCCCTCTACTACCTACCTATGACTCAGGCACCATAACTAACTTATGTATCATTCTACATATGTTAGGATGTACAACTTTTATTTTAGATATATTTATATGACAAGTAATATAATCTTGCACATTAGTATGTAAACTATACCTAACAAATGTAACACTCTCATCTCACATACACTGATTTAATGTATCTTCAGGTTTCATAACTGAAGACACTGATTTTTTTCTGAATGACCCAAGAACAACTGGCTTACTCATCAGATGTCCTAAGCCAAGAAAGAAATCCAGCATTTGATTTTCGATTATTTATGTTATTGATGCTTTTATAAAGAACTTTTCTGTGGAAAGATCAGAACAAGATATTTAAATATATTAAATCACTCTGAACAAAGCTATTTCTTATCCATGTGTTTGCTTTCATAGTTCCCCTAGAGTTTTCTTAATTTACCTCGCGTTATAATGTGTGCATATGGTACACACAAGATGAGAAGGAAGGATTTACCTTGTCTTTATGGGTTAGCTGCTGACTTATAACATCCTCACAGATGCTGGAAGAAGGAACCAAGTTATGCAATTGATAAAACAGCTCCACACTCTTCTGGTGGTGCTGTGGGGTCCCGTCTCCCAGTTGGTCCCACAGAGTCAAAGCTACGTGCTGTAGTAAAAGACACAGAAATGACTGTTATAAAGCCAGACGTAAAAATTCATTTAACAAACATTTCCTGTTACGTACAAATTAATACCTTGTCTCCGACTGCCAGACATGAAATCTCACCATAAAACTGGGATGGTCTTCTACCTGCCCATTTCTGGCCATATGGACCCTCAGAACTGTTCATGATGATACTTTAATATTTTTCTTAACATCAGAAATGTAGTAAGAATGTTCTAAAGGGCCCAGGTACATCCCTGTTTTATTATTTTGGTGACAGTAAAATAATGCTAGAATATATTACCTTTAATAAGAAAAAAATCCCAAGTTGAACATACTTTAATTTTTATAACTGCATGTTAAAGCATGAAATATAATTCATGTCCAAATATCTGAACTACTGTACTTAAAAAGTTTTTGTGTGTACGTTGCATGTGTTGGCGATTAAACTTAAGACCTCACGCATGCTAAGCAAGTATCACTAAGCTACACCCTCAGCCCAAAGACTTCTATAAATCATATATAATTTGGAGGTACGTGTATTAACACAGCACTAGATGGTATCAATATATAGAATCTTTGGGATGTTCACAACTATAACATTACAGAAATGAAGTTCAACCCAGCAGGAGGAAATATCTGAAGGGGCACAATAATTTAAAATCATATTTTAAAAACTTTTTAATGTATCATTTACCCGCTTGTCATATAACTCAAATCTACCTGGTATTATTTCTGTGTATATTAAGATACCTATACTGACATTTTTTTCTGAATGATATCATATACTATAGGTAATAATCAGACAATATGGAGAGTCAGAAGAACTTTTCATGGAAGTTTCGGAAAGATGAGGTTTTACTCTTTGAAAAGCAAAGCAAAAGTGTACAACCTAGAAATAAGTTCAACTGTATAAATGAGATTTCCTCTTTCTTGTTTTTTTTTTGGCGGGGGCGGGGGTGCTCATCCTGCCTCAGCCTCCCGTGTACTGGGGATTACAGTTGTACAACACCACGCCAGGCCTTCTTTCTTTAGTTGAAATTATTTCTTCTGTGGTTTCACTGTCCTAGGTCAAGTATCAGACTTGCAGTGATTATTTTAGTTAAATAATATTACTTAGAATTTACCTTGAAAAATTCAGTCTTCTCAGCTATGTACCTCAGGTTGCCTTGAGTGAGAGGGGGTCTAATAACCACGGCTACTCTTCCCTGGTTTGGACTTAAGGGCTGAGCAGACTCCATGTTATTAATGTTCTCCCCAGTGACCATGGCCACAGACTGAGTCAGTCCCACCAGGTCCATGACTAGGGAGACGGCAATACTCTGAACGCTGAAGTCACTTGCTTGGCTGCAAGCATTCATCAGGGTCTGGAGCCACTGCGGAGGCTGCACATGCTCACAGTCTGGAAGGAAAGAGGAAAGAAACCAATGCCCACGGTATAAAACATTTGACACAGACTGTAAGTTAACTTTAAAAAAGCAACTCTAAAAATAAATAAATAAATAAAATAAAAAAGCAATTCCGTTTCATTCCTTTCGACCTTGCTTTGTTAACAAATCATGGTTTCTCCTTTAGTTTAGAACTTTAAGAAAATAAAGTAGAAACAAGAATTTCATCCACTTTTTTCAATATACATTTTTCCTATGCCAAGTCACACAATCTCTTCTCCTGTCCTAAAAAGTTTATTTATTAACAAATGTCATCCAGCACTACTGCACTCCACATGTATATATAAAAATTTAAATACAGGTAAACACATGCTGTTATAATAAAGAAAACCAGCGAATTTAATGTTATGTATCATCTCTCTAGCCCCATAAGCAAACTGTGAAAATCACCAAAATCACAAAGTCTTCTAACAGCAATTTCTCCATGACTATCTCATTCAAAGATTTTGAATCAAAGTGATAAAGTTCACTGGCTACACAAACCCAGTTTTAATATCGGAATCCTTAAAAAAAGAACACGGTACACGAAATACTCAGATATGAACACAACAGAGACGATCTTACCACTCTCTAATTTTTCAGAACGTAACTCTGATGTATGGTTCCCTTCAGCAATGTAAACTGGGAAACTTGAGCACTCGAGGAAGAGCTGACAGGCAGCGAGGAAGGCAGAAAGGTATTCTTTCGAAGTTTTCTGTTTACATAGGTTACTCTCTTTTACATCTCCTTGTGAATCCCTGTCCCACTTCGGAGTCCCTCCTTGCATCCCACTGAGATCCCCTTGATGTTCTGCAGCCAGTGTCTGAGAAAAAGAGTTACTCTGAATGATATAGAGGTTGATGAGTCTGGTGAGAAACTGCTGGACGTACTCCAGGCAGCACTGCATTGCAGTCTTTTGGGCTGCCTTCCCACTTCGCGTTGCTGCCCCCTGCGATAACGTGGAAGGGGGCTGGATGATGGTTTCCTCGGATCCCACAGTAGATGCTGTTTCTGTCTCCGAGGACGTGCTACCGACTGGGATGGTGGCCGCTCCCCGCCCTTCACTGAGGTCTCTGTCGAGGTCATCGGTTCGGTCTGCTTGATACTGTATGAACTCAGTGAAGCCACTTTCTGACGATCGACTACTCGGTGGGTTTTCTCCATCTTCAAACACTTCACTAGGATTCTCCAGAGAAACTGATGGTACCTGGCCGATTTTTAAAAAAGCAAAAGGTTGAGTACATACATGTATACTCTTTAGGAATAAGAAATGGCCATCTTTTTAGGGAAGTTTTAGGTCAGATGATAAGCAGATTAATTTACATTTTGTTGAATGTGAAAACAGTTCACACACTGATTCATGTTTACGATAGAAATACTGATGTGGTTCTAACGAATACATAAATACGTATGCATCTACAAAGCATTTACCATTCATCATATATATATCGTAAGCGTAGGATCTTTAGGATATGTATTTTTGTTTTCAAATGTCTAACAATTTACTTCATAAAATCACTTTCTTAATATTGAAACTATGCAAAGAAAGAGACACAAGGTTAAAAATGACATTTTATTTTATTTTTTAAAAAATTTTATTTATTTATTTATTTTTGTACCAGGAATTGAACTCAGGACCTTGTGCTTGCCAGGCAGGCACTGTGCCACTGAGCTGTATCCCTAGCCCTTAAAAATGACATTTTAAAAATAAGGAATAAAATCAATAGGTTATCTGTTCGGGACCACATACATGTGACCTTTGGTTAAAAATGTGTAAAGTACTAGTTAAATGTTTGCTATTAATCTTACATTCTTTTACAAAATATAACTGAACTTCTGTGTGCCAGACAGTGTATTAGGTAGTAGCTAGAAAAGGAATACTATCACTTAGAGGGGAACAGACAAATTAATTACAATACAAACCAGTTCCTAGAGTAGGACTGGAATGTATTAGCCTTTCTCTTGGTAAAAAGGATAAGTACAATCATCAAGGATATTGTCTTACTTAGTTCAAATAAACAAAGGTGTGCATATCACACATTCCTTGCGGCACTGGGCCACAGTATAACTTGAATAGGATTATGAAAGGTGATTTATCAATATATGAACTAAACACTCTGCTGCCCAAAGCTGGGCCTTACTTCATGTCCCTTGCTGCTGGCACCACCACTCATCAAAGCTAGTGAGAGACCTAGGGGTGACTCTTGATACTTCTGTTACCTCTCTTCCCCTTCCTGACTTCTCCCACATTAGCACAGTAGGAAGGGTGTGGGCCCCACGTCAGCCAGAGCTCTACTGCTCACTATGTAAGTCTGGCAAGTTACTTAACCTCTCCAAACTCAGTTTTCTATTTGTATACAGAGGCTCCCGCATCCATGGGTGCCATGTTGTAGGACCCCCATTGGATGTCTGAAAATATGGACAGTACTGAATCTCACGTATACTCCGTTTTTCCCTATACATACACACCTATGGTAAAGTTTATAAGTTCTGCATGATGTGAATTAATCATAGGATAACGATGTCAATATACTATAATAAAAGCTATATGAATATATATGAATATATAGTCTCTTGCTTTGAAAACATGTAACTGCACTGTACTCACCCTTCTCCGTGTGATGAAGTAACAAGATACAATGTCTGTGTGACGACAGGAAATGAGGAGAAAGACGTAGGCACTGAGACACAGGCTTAGGCTACTACATAAGGGTCGCCTGAACACAGCAGTCTACCTGATAACCAAAGCAGCTACGGAATGACTAATGGGCAATCCTACACACAGTGTGGATACACGAGACAAAGACATGACTCATATACTGGGCAGGACAGAGAAGGATGGTGTGAGATTTAACCGTAATACTCAGAACCATATATAACTTAAACCTTAGGAAAATTTCCTGGAATTTTCCGTTTCACACATCAGGACCACTGATGACTGCGAGTAACTGGAACTACGAAGAGAAACTGTGGATAAGGGCACCACTGCAAGCGAGACGACACTTCCTACGTTTTACAGCTGTTATGAGGATTAAGTAATGGCATGTTTAAGATGCCTGGCACAGTGCCTGGCATGCGGTGAACACTCAGCAAATACTGGTAACCGCTCATTACCCTAATCTATCACTAAATCGTTTTTATTTGTCTTTCTAAATATATTGCTAAGCCACCCATTTCTCTCTCTGCCCCATCTCGTCAGCACAGACAGCACCGCCTCTCACCTGCACTACTGCAGGTCTCCCCACATCCATTTTTGTTTCTCAATCCATACTCCACACTGCAGCCAGGGTAATTTTTCTAACACACAAATCTGATTATGTCACTTGCCTTTTTCCCTTCAGTGTCTTCCCATTGCTCCTAAGATAAAGAATAAAAGCCTTAGTACAGTGAGCAAGGCTCTGCAAAACCCGGCTTCTGTGTCTCTCAAAGCGCTATCGCCCCATCTGCATAGCGTCCTTTCTGCCTCAGTCTTTCTAAGTGCTCCTTTCTCTCACACTTGCTCTTATTCTGCCTCACCTCCACCCCACCGACTTCTCCAGGGCTTCACTTCAACATTCCCGCCTCAAGAAGCCTTCGTTAGCCTAGGTCAGGCCATGCCGTCTCCCACAGTCCTCTCCATGCTCTCCTTTATACATTACTGGAACTGTAATTAGGAGTGCAATCGCTTCTGTTGTATGTGTCTTCCAACTAGAAAGAAACGGTTGAGAAGCCCAGAGACTGCCTAATTTGCTTTCTTTGAAAGACAAGAAAACTGAGGCTCAGTGAAGTTAAAAAAAAAAAAAAAACTTGCCCAAGGATATGCAGATAAACTTAGCAGTTAATAGAAGAGATCAGATGAGGCAATTATAAACTTCTTTCACTACAGGATATCACAATAACAGTAGGAGAGCTTTTCACATTATTCCAAAGTTTAGAGGCAACTATCAAAATGGATTTTATTTGTCAATTGTTTTTGAAAGGTTATCGATCATCTGAAACCATGTACTTACAAAGATATTTACATGATAAAACTGTCATTAGTTTATTACTATAAAATTATTTCCATACTAATATTTTATAAAAGAATCATCAAATAATGAGTGATATTAATTTAATGGAATTCAGGCTACAATTCAACTCAATCTGTAAACATTTATAATATTTACTGGTATGGACTATATTACATATATATAATTATTTGAAATTAAAATGTTTTTTTGAAAATAGAAAGAAATAATGTTTTAGGCATTAGAGCATGGAGATCCATATACTGATTTTATGAAAATACACTATGTGCATAGAATCAAATCAGATTTTTAAAAAAATTATAACTCCTTTACTTACACTTTATAAAAAAGGGAATATAGAAAACACTCAACCTTTAAATGCGATCATTTTCAGATATCTAAGTAAAGACAATACCATCATAGTTCAGTAAAACACAAGAGAAAAGTATACACGGCCTGGAGCATAGAAGAAAACCAGAGACAGACGGGAAAAGGCATGCTCTAAGGTTAATGACATCATAATTTTATTTTATTTATTTGTTTATTTTTGGTATCTTGAGACAGTCTATGTAGTTCAGGCTGGCCCTGCAGGTGTGCCAACATGCCTGGCTTTGTCATTCATTTAATACAAGTGGGTGTTACCTTTTACCTTATCTATAACCATCAATGAGGGTCTTCAGGTTTGAGTATGCTACTTTGCTACTACAAAAACACTAAGGGCCTTGCTTCCCCTGTTCCCATTAGTTTCATTCAAATGAAAACCAAAACTTCAATACTAGTTCATATCTATTTTAATCTTCTAAGGAAATCTCAGGAGCACAATTTAAGGAAAAATAATGCAAAAAATAAAATTTTCAGCAATAGTAGATGCATATGTATACACAATTATTAATATTACTATATATTACATATCACATATAATGAGCAGGTTGGAAGGAAAATAAAAGCGGCTTTTTTTTTATGTAGGCTAATCCTGAAGTATATTTACACTGGTCAAACATCAGTAATTTCACTTCATATGGAAGAGCAACACATTTAGCTGAACCCAAAAAACTGTTCTAGGATTAATATCTGATGGGAAAGGTTACACGAGACAGTCTAAAATGTATTTTGTCTACCTGGGGAAAAAAGACATGTAAAGGGGGAAAAAAGGTAATTACACAAACAAGATTTATGCAATAATCTAACACTGTGATACTGTGCTTAAAATCAACGTAATCATTACATAATTCAACTGAACGCTTTCATTCACAGTCACCAAAACCTTTGATTATAAACCTGAGAACTTGTAAATTATTGATTTTCCCGTAAGTGTTTAGGTATGTTAGTCATGCCAGACATTAAAATTATAAAAGTTTAATTCTAAACAACTTCAGAAAGACAGTATTAAGCATCTGGAAGACACAGGACAATAAAAACATCCTGGATTTTGAGATCATGAGAAAAATATGTGAAAGGGACCAGTAAAATTTCTTACTATGGTAGCCATATTAACAGGGCTACGTGTGGCTATCAAACACTTGAAATGTGGGTAGACTGATTGAGAAACTAAATTTTTAATTCTATTTAAATTTTAAAATTGACAACTTATCAGAAAAAGAAGCCTATTTGGAACAACTTCTATATGTGACTTCAATTTTTCAAATGTAAATTGTATAAATTCAATACAAAGTACTTCTATTAAAAATGTAGCATTTGAAGATAAGCTACAAGTTCAAAATATCACTATACTCTGAAGACTTAGTACATAAAAAACTACTTTTTTCAGACTACTTTAGTATATGTTGGCAAATTTATACAGATTACATGTTGAAACAATAATATGTTGCTACATTGGGCTAAGTAAAATAAAGTGAAAAATAATTTTACCTGCTTTTTACTTTTTAAATGCAGCCTCCAGAAAATTTAAAATTAGATACGTCATGGACATTGTATATATACTGAAAAGTACTAATATAGCCATTAAACTGTCCTATGGCTGAAAGCTGACAATAAGGTCTAGTGCTACATCACATGGAATAAGAAGGGTCACTGATATTTTAATGTTCATGCACAAGTGATGTAACTCAGAAACTGCTCTGCTTTGAAGAACTACAAGGTCTAACACCAAAAATAAGAGCCAAGATTACCTTTTTGTCTTCCCATTCTTTGACTGCGCTGCTCTGCCCACCGGGAAACTGCAACATGCCTCCAGTACCAGCAGATAACAGAGGAGGTTGGACCTTACTAAGGATCTTTGAGCAGAGCCTGAGCGAATCTGTGAGCTCAGATGAGTGCAATGTCTGGAGATGGCTTGTCAGGGCAGAAACCATCCTAAGCAGCAACTGGGGCAAGTGTTCTGTTTGGATTTCAATGTAAGTCTCCTGAAAATAAGAGGGAAACGAAAGATAATTAAATAATTTATAGCTTAAAGGTCATTTATTTTTCAATCTGTACAAATAAGCTAATAATTTTACTCATTTTATAGGTATCATGCTCTTAATTAACACTGTATATTTTATTATTAATGACTTACAAAATTTCTACTCCCAAATTCTCAATTTAAGTACTTTAAAGCATATATCATTTTATAAACCCATTTAATCTGCTATATTACAGAAATAGTAATGTAAAAAAAGTGAATAGAATCTGTTAAAAACAGGCTGAATGTCATACCTGACACAGCACCCTCATACTTCTAGTAGGCTTCAAAGTGAGAGAGCACAGAATTGAGGAGAGAAAACATAAGAGGAAAAGATTTCCAACAGTCTTAATTTAACAGAAAAAAATCATTAATAAAAAATGCAGCATTAGGCCAAAGTAATAAACACTTATAATTTTACAGCATGCAGTTAGGAAGTATATTCCATGTATTATATACGTCAAATGATAAAACACTCGGAAAACTTTAAGATAAAAAGCTATACCACAGAGAAGAAAATCAATTTAGTTTTAAAGATGAAATTTATCAGCAACATGAAATATTTAAATTATGTTCTTCAATTTCCTTGATTTTTTTTTTTACCCAGGTGGTCTTACCAAGGAAACTATATCCAACAAAAAATCCACCAGTAAGCAGAAATTGGTCAGCTGTAATTCAGATGACTCACTACTATCTCCAGGTCCAATCTGAAGCCTGGCATGCAGCGTCCTCCTGAAAGAACAAATTTACTTTATCAAGTACACTCTCAAGTGATATGAGTGCTTGTAAAACGTTATCATCTGCCTAATGAGGGCCAGGTCAACAAAGGGTCACAAACTTAATGTTCTTGTGATGAAATAGTCCCTTTACAGTACTGTACTCTAATGGGAAAATTCTCAAAGCTAGATTCTTAGGCCTAACCTCTCCTTGGAATGCCTCTCTTTCACTTTCAAGTTTTTCTGGATGGATCTCACTTTTTGAGACTTGTTTCTCATTGCTCACAGTAAAGATTTAATCTCCTAGTTAAAATGGATTGTTTTTACCAATTTGTCCGGACTATCATCCTCCTCGAACTTCATTTTCTTGTATCTAGAATGTACCTGTCTTGAGATCAAATCTACCTCTTCCAGGAAGTCTCTGCTAGACCACATAAAGATTATTCCTTGAATAAACATTCACATCGTATTAATCTTATGTGACCATACATTGCTCTACACTCTGAAGACACAAAGTAAGACTATGACACTGTCCTTGAACAATGAGAAATATAATTATGGAGATAAATGAATACAATGATATGACAGTGTGACAGTAATTGATTTGGATGGGAGATTTGAGGAAGTCAAGAGAGGTGTAGGTCTTTCCCAGATTAGCACAAAGGGTAGAATAAAGAATAGCACAAGTGAAGGCCGAATAATACAAAAGTTTATGTGTGCTCAGGGGATAATTCAGGTTAGTTTAACCAGCATGGGTGTGTGTCTGTGGACAGAGAAACACAGTAGGGTAGATGTGTTTGTAAACACAGAAACTGAAAACCCAAAGTAGGGTTAGGTATTAAAAAGGTTCCCATAATTCCTCTTAATTTTTATATTTTATTCTCTCTAGGAGGCATTTGCAATTTTAAACTTAATACTAGGAATATGTGAATCTTACTTGGCCCACCGTCAGGTGGGTGAAGACAGGGACTTCTCTATATGCCTAGCACAATGCTCGTCAGGAGGGTGTTCAACACCTGCCAAGTCGGTATCCAAAAGCTTTCCAAATCATTAAAGGAATTAATGTAAAGCAGTATTTACTTTTTTAATGACTTCTAAACACAAGACTGTATGCCTTTACTTTTTGACTACACGCTCATCAAGCTTGAGAGGTTAATTTGGTTCTGAAAAATTTGGTCTAGAATCCAGCCAGATTTCACTGCAGTTCACTAGTATTCTAGGGTTTTAGACCATTCTTTAGGCTTTCTGTCTTAAAGGGTAGAGGACTTTTATCACTCCTCTTCAGAGATAATATGAGCTAGTTCTATAGCTGTGAAATAGAGAAGTACACAGGAGGTTTGTTACAAAAAGTGGGAATATTTTCGGGGAAGTGTGCCAAGGCAGCAGTACAAATTTGTTATCTCGCTACAACAAAGACAAGCTAGATTCCTATGCTCTATCACAAAGGTAAGTCAGATTCCTATACACTGGATAGAATCTTTCATCTGTGTTGTTGAATAACACATCTTTGAGCTCCCTTCCAACTGTAGGACGATATGATTAAAGATTTTCATATGCTAGACTAACAAGATAGAGTCAGATTACAGCTACAAAACAATGAATAGTTCTCAGTAGTAGTAGAATGGATAAAAGAACATTTTTGAGATTAAACAACTTAAAAATTAGCTTTGGATATTAAAGCAAATGAAATACTTTAACTTACCTACAACATTCTTCAAACCAACATGCAACATAATCCCACATATAATAAGGTTCAAAGGAATTAAAGAGAAGGTTGGCAGTTTTAATCAGCTCTGCTGTTTTCTTATTTTCCCTTAGTTTACTAAAGAAAACAAAACAAAACAAAAACTAAAAGAGTATTATCAATTTTTTTCAAATTTAAATGCAGTATCAATAAGGCAGTGCAAATTCCTAGGTAGCTGCTAGAAAATATGCTAGTAAGCACATTAGAACCAATAATTTTAATCTATTTTATGCTCTAACTTTATATGCAATTCTTCCAAACTTGAGTTTTCATAACTCAAATGTATCACTGAAATCACAAGTTAGCCTTACATAATAAACACCACAAAAGAACAGGAAGATCTTTCTGAACTCTTAAGTGCACCGTGTTAATTTGGCACATATAAAGTAAGTAGTGATTTGATTTTGACAGTCTTGTTTCTAAAGAATTTTGCTTGCTTCCCTGTGTTGTTCAGGATGTTCTTAATAAAGTTTATTTTGACCAGTTTCACTCAAATTATTATTCTTACCTTTAAAAACAATGCTAAAATGCACCATTACTATAAATAGCTATTATTACTGAAATTCCATCAGGGAAAAATAATTCTGTTATTTCAAATGACTACCATTTAATCTATTACCTATTTTCCCCTCCTAGCCTCTCTAACAAAACAATTATATCTACATCTATTTATGTCATATATAGTTGTAGGTGTTGGGGATCAAACCCAGAGCCTCGCGCATGCTAGGCAAGTACTTGTCTGTACACAGCGAGGTATTACTACGGGCTATATAAATTCTTCGGCAGATAATACTAGAAGTGGTATGTTTAAAGCAGAGAAGAAAAAGACTCTGTTAGCATGTGTCTATCCCTGACTTACGGGAAGAAGACATGCTAATGTCACATGACTTGGCATTTAAAAGGAATATATATATGTGAAAGAATCTAACTTAAAAAAAAGAATGTTCAGTGGCCTTTCGTTCACTTAACAATGACCTTTTTCAAGTCTTTTTTGAATCTATGATTTGGTTTCCTGATTATGTTTAACCACCAAGAGGCACTACCCTGTGAACAAATAGACTGCTTAGCAAACAAGATACAACTCCCATTATTAACCGACATGTAGCAGCAGTCTGCTGTAAGTTCAGTAAGTGAAATAACCCTGGGGCAAACATGTTCACTGCTAAAATTTAATTTTCTAAACTGGTGAGATTAAGAACCTTGCCTGACTCGTGGTGTTTGTGTGGTCATGCTTAAAGTGCCTACTTAAGTGATGAGTGAGTTACACTTCACACTCCCAAAAAAGTGATAAATCAATTTTACTCATTAGATCACAAACTTCATAGAGTAAGGTGAGACCTCCAGTTATCACTAACACTGCAAATTACATTAAGTGAACGTATAGAGCAGTATCTACTTTATGACTAACAACATCTTCATGTCATGCTTATTTTTTTTTGGTAGTCTACCTGCTTAACTGAGCATGATCCTTGCTGAAGGGTGGGTCCATTTGAAGATCTAATTCTGCTTTGCATTGGTAATACAATGTTCGAAACACCTCAATCAGTACATCTTCCAGAATTACAGGTCCTAAAATTAATATACAAAGTAAAGATAGCAATTAGAATAGATAAATCATGATTATTTAAAAATTGTTCCAAATAAAGGACATTTTAAAACAAGTTTTTAAAAATAATTTTCAGAAGCCAAATTAAACTTCACATTTTGAGAAATCCTTAAATAATTAAAAAATGTCCATGTAAATAATAGATTTGCCGGGTGTGGTGGCACACGCCTGTAATCCCAGCACTTGGGAGGCTGAGACAGGAGGATCTTTGCGAGTTCGAGGTCAGCCTGGACTACAAAGTGAGCTCAAGGCCAGCCTGAACTGCATAGCGAGACCCTGTCTCAAAAAGACTAAATAAATAAATAAGTTATAGATTTACACAACAGAATTGATAAAATCAGGAAAATTGGTTTGATTAGTTTATAACTCTGTTACCCTGGACAAGTTATTTATTTTTCTGACCTTTGGTTTTCTCATCCAGAATGAGGATAATAAATTTATATGACAGTTTATAAGATTAAGAAAAATATTTATAAGGACAGCCTAGTTCCTAGAAGTTAATGATTATTCAGTAAATGTTACTGTTACTGTACTAGTACTATTTACAATTTAATTCTAAAATGCATAAGGCTAAAATTTTATTTGCTATAACAGGGTCCAATTTCCTTTTAAAAAATTCCTCAGCTTCACTTATTATCATACAGTACTTAAACAATAAACCTGTCAAAGCCATCAATATAACTTGATATTCTTATATTTTAAATATATTTTCATTTTTAAGATTTGGTGAATTTTAGCAATCTGCTAAAACATCGGCATGTAAGTTGAAAAATTACATGTTATGTTTTCATTTTATTATTCATATTTGCTTTCTTCTTAATTTCTGTCTTACATGTAGCTTTCCCAGTAGATCTAATATGTAATTAGTATACAACGAGAAAAGATAAAACATAAAATAAAAGGGGTTATGGGAAGAAGAGGAAGATAAGCCACATATTTATGCTCAAGTCCTTAAATTCTGTGACCTCTTATGTTATAACAGATCATACATGTTTCAATTTCAGTAACTGAGTAAGATGAAGGGGAGCTTAGCCACTTTTAAAATGATTTCTGCTACATATATACTACATATAAGAATGGGGAATGATACCGTATCAGCTGCATGTATACCTCTATCTTCTTAACTGTGTAACCTTTAGGTAAGAAATTATTTTTGTTTTCTGAGGTAAGAAATTGTTGAGGACCTATACTTAAAAGCTATTTCAAAATACAGCAATTCTTCTAATGACTTAATCTTTTATGACGAAACAATACAAAACCACTTCCGGTGACCTCAGCCCTCGGGATGGAGGTGCACCTTACCCAGCTCAGGTTTGTCCAGCAAACTGATTAAAATCCGAAAAGGTTTGAGATCCTGCATTAGTGTGCTCTCTTCTCCAAATCCATTCACTTTTAAGATTCCCACCATTGCCTTCAAAAAGGAAGCATGTATGCGTCAGTTTGAGAACAGATTGAAATAATTACTTCACAAGAAAAGATACTTTTAAAGATAACCACGTGTAATGCAAATGTAAATCTCCCATCACTTTTCTGAAGCCCTCTTCTTCTGCTAGGAAGACAAATGTTATATTTATCTGTCTGGAGAGAAGAAAAGGCGCTTAAATTTTCCCTAGTGAAAACACGGAAGAGTAAAAAAAAAAAAAAATCAAGAAGATTATATTCATAAGTATCATCTACTCTCAAGATGAAAATACTTGTGTTTAGGATATGAAAATGTTTCTGTTTAGGATCATGACCCCCAAACCATGCAACTTCATCAAGGCAATATCTACTGTTATGCAATGATTTTATCATTAGTGACACCAAACTCAGTATGTTACTCCATGCACTTAAAAATGCCTCCAATATTTTGAGACAACTTGAATATATAAGTGAAATTAAAATAATATGAAAGAAATATAGGGACCATGTTAACATTTCCATTACAATGACAGTTTTACCACATTTAGATTCCTACTGCAGTCCAAATTCCCCTCTGGCTTCCTAGGAAATAATTTAGGTCATACTACACTTTTGGAAAAGCTCCAGTGTTCATAGGACACACAGGTAAGAGGCTGAACTCTGTTTTAGTAAAGCTTGAGAACAACAAAATAAACAGCTCTAGGCTTACAAAAGAGTCTAATTTATGATCATTTATCATTTTATTTTAGCTATTTGCTGGTTACTGTCTCTCTTAGAAAGTGTTTGAGTCTTGTCTTCATCCAACTATGAATTCAATTAAGGCAGGACTCTATGTTATACTTGGTAACTAGCAGTCAGTAAGTAGGCAAAGAATAATGAAAGCATTCATTACCTGGACCAACAATTCTTTTGAAAAGGTATTGAAATAGTAAGTGGCATGTTCTTCAGGATTACTGTGTCTTGTACTTCTGGGTCCTATGATAGTACCGTTGTTATCAAAACCTCCATGGAAATAAATTGCCAATGAATTAAAATTCAACTCTCAGAACGGTTGCTCACTAAATACCAGAACAGCAAATATCTCAAAAACAGCACTAAACACTTACCAATTAGTAGCCCATTCAATGTCAGCAAGAGAGATCATTTCGGATAGTTTAATAAAGGGAAACCAATTCAGTAATAAGTATCACAATATTCTTCCAGAACTATCCTGTCCTCCAACACCCACCTTACCACAGTAAAATAACTGAGGACTCAAATTATCCAAGTGATATTGGATCCTCTCACTCCAGGCAGCAAGGCATTGGGAGGATAGGCCAAACACCGACAAAGTGTAGGAAACCAAAATGAACACAATGTTTCACTGCTTCAGTGGGAGTTGGGACCACATGGGAGCTGGTGGTACTTACTAGTTCTAATTCCTTTGATGACTTAAAAGTTTTAGAAATTTTGTCATTTTAATTATTAACTTATCCTTCTTTATTTACAAATTTATGGTGTTAACAACCTCAATTTATAAGATAGAAAAAATATCATTGTGTGACCATGGGGATTCAAATACTCTTCAACTAAGAAGGTTTTGAAATTTCTTCATTAATAGTTTATATTTTCATTACCCATTTACACAACAGTTTTAGCTTTACAAACAGTTTTAGCTTTTTAACTTAGAACATATAAAACTCAGTAACACTTATGTATGACAAATCTTTCTCCATTTTTTCTCGATTAGGACTATGTACATGAAACACCTACCAAGAAGCCATGCATACAGTCTTCGGTTCAGGGACATATCCCTCCTTAGTACTACGTGAAGGGCTGCTGACAATATCCTGATCATGTCTGGTCGAGTGGCCTGAAAAGATTGGGGATGTGACTGTACTTTATCACAACAAAAGTACATCATTATTTTTCCTCTTTTATAATGTTAAAAAAATTCAGTTATAATCTCAATTAAAAGTGTAAATATTAGACTTTCAAGTCAGCTTTCCATGAAATAAGTAAAAGAAATCTATCACTCCACCTACAGTGTAATAGCAATCTTACTTTTGGAAATAAAATGAAAACTATTAAATTACAAATACAATCAATACTCTCCAAGTTTACCGCATGCAAGACACATACAATGGTAAAGTGGGAAACCAGGATGACCATGATCCTTAATCTTAGGCGATCTAAAAATTTGGTATAGTAATGGGGAGAAGAGCATTAGAAATGGGTACAGTAATCAGAGAGAAAAGTACAGTATTAGAATTGAGTATTAGAATTAGGTATTTACCTGTTCAATATAGTTACTCTCTTTATAAAACAAATTACAGGCATAAAGTCTGAGAAAATCTTGGCAGGTAAGAATATAAAGTAACAAAGTACTAAAAAAGGAACAAGCCAAAAAAAGGCTCAGAAGCACCAATCCAGGGATATTACAAACTAAGTTCTTAGCAATTTAAGTCTACGAAGAATTAATCCCTCACACCCTGATGAGGAATTCAAGCGAGGGACGACTAGCACTCTGTTGGAAAACAAGACAGTTCAAAAGCAGGGGTCAATAACACTTGATGAACAGCCAGGTAATACATGTTTTAGGCTTTTGACTACACACATTTCCTTGACATATTTTTGTTTTCTCTTTCAAGCGTTGAAAACAGCATGGATTTGGGGGAGTTAATATCAGTCATTAATGTTTTACCTGACTCATGTGGAATGGAAAACAGAAGAGTATGAGGTCCAGGGTACTTCTCTGCACAAGAACACTGGAGTCCTGCACGGAAGTACTTACTGCTTCTACCTGAAATGAAGAGAGCCTTTAACATCTATCGCCTGCTATGCTAGGGGATTTTTTTCAACTTTTTTTCTTCTTGGTGTTAGGGTTTGATCCAGGGATTTGCACATGCCATGCATGCGTTCTATTACTGAGCCATCAGAATGCTGACTCTTCATTTTCTCTAATAAATAAAGTATGCTTCTAAGGATCACGGAGCGCTACACTGGAGAAGTTCCAACGATTTTTTTACGTCAAGTCAGCCCCAACATGGCTACAAAGACATCTGTATGTAAATGTTTATAGTAGCTTTACTAATAATTGTTCCAAATGGGATACAAATCAAATGTTTATTATTAACTGATGAATGAACAATCAGATTATGGTATTGTCATACAACAGAATGATATGTACCGATATAAAGACACAAATCAGTGGTATACACAAAAGCATTGCTGGATTTCAAATATATCATGAAAAGTGAAGGACACGATACTTGCACTCTGCATAAAGTATAATTTCATTTATTTTACTTCCCAGAAATAGCAAAATAAAAGAAATAGAAAATTTAGATTATTGTTTGCAAAGGTCTGGAAGTACAGTGGAAGAGGACTTGACCACACAGAACTTTTGGAGTGATATAATTTTTTGTATCCTGATCACAGCAGTTCCAGGACTTTAGGTGACCAGAATTCAAATAATTATATTTGTAAAAGGGTTAATTTCAGTGAATGTGAATTATACTTCAATAAATCTAACAAAAATCTGGATTAAAATCAGTCATATTATATGGGGAGAAAGGATAATGAGCAAAAATGAATATAAATTAAATATAAAATACATTCATATAATAAATGTGGCTATATGTTATGTATTGTCAGATCAATAAGATAGTAATAACAAAAGCCATTACTTTGCTTGAATAACAAACAATAGAGATAAGACAAACAAATAACATTATCTTTTCATAAAAAATTAAGCTTTTAAAATTAGTATTTTTTTTTTTTTTCCCCTGGTACCAGGCATTGAACTCACGACCTCGTGCTTGCCAGGCAGGATTTAGTGAGCTAAATCCCCAGCCTAGTAACTGATTTTTAAAGTTACTAATTTAGCATTTAGTTTTCCTTCATAAAAAATACAACCTCTATGAAAACAGGAACTCTCTTCACTACATGATTTTCCATACCCACCTGGAACAGTACTCAGCTCTAAAGAAATATTTGTGAGGGGCTGGGGATTTAGCTTAGCGGCAAAGCGCCTGCCTGGCAAGAGCAAGGTCGTTAGTTCAGTTCCCGGTACCAGAGAAAAACCAAAAACAAAACAAAACAAAACAAAAAGAAATATTTGTGAAATGAGCAACCGTATGTTTGGACTTACCATTAGCTCAATATCACTGCCGATTATGTAGAGCTGATCCTCCATGGAAAGCTTCCTATTCAAGTGGGCAAGGACATACGTGATTCCAGGAAGGCGGACAGCAGGGCTGGTGAGAAGACTGCCCCAGAGTGCACTATAGAACGCTGACTGGTCCACCGCGGCGGCAACCTTTTCCAACAGTGTATTCGTTCTGAGACAAAACAAACAAAAACAAAAGCAAGAAACAAAACTAAAATTTCACAGACAGGACCACATTAAAGTCCTGACTACTGTTTTCAAGCTGTATACTGATAGGAAATTAATTCATCTTGATACAGCTCAATCTCATCTATAAAATGAAAAGAATGACAAAAAGCACCACCACGAGACCTATCTAACCTCAGTGGGTTGTTAAACTACTCTAAGCAATAAAACACCACATATAATTTTTACTTAATGGTAATGTTATGGTAGAACATCTGTTGATTTTGCACAAAACCTTAGATCTGTATTTTAGTATGATACATTTCCAAATGCTTTCTTTTTGAAATCACATATCATACAGTTAAGCATTATGTTAATGAATTAGACCTATGACAAAATGAAAGATGTGTTACTACTTTATGAAGTACTACATTACAGATTACTTTTTGTTTTTAACAATGCAATATGTAACAGGCTATTTCACTGTAGTATAATGAAGTCATAATAAGAGAATTAGTTACTGCTGTGTGATTTAATACTGAGTGTAATCTCTTCGGGTCTCAATTTATATTGTATTAAAATCTGTGCCTAACACATTTATGAATGCTTTTTTTTTTCGAGACAGGGTCTTGCTATGCAGTTCAGGCTGGCCTTGATCTCACTTATGTAGCATAGGCTAGTCTTGAACTCACAACGATCCTCCTGCCTCAGCCTCCCAAGTACTGGGATTACAGGCATGTGCCACCTGCCCAGCCTATGAATGCTTTTAAAGACTGTGTGTGGAATAACAACCAAGCTATATGATAAATCATGAGATACTACAACCATAAATAAAATTATTTAATTTCCATATTAAATATTATTGTAGCTACATTAGTACTGACTGTACTTCCCTTAAGAAAATCTAACAATTTAAAACAAAACTGACTTAAATGCTAAATAAAGTAATTTTATATTTCTAAAATTTTAAGCAAATAAATAAAATACTTAAATTCATACAACTAATAAGCTGTTAGGACAAAAGAAATTTTTTTTTCAGAGTAGCCTAAAAGGGTAACCCAGTATGTTCAGAATTAGATTCTTACTGCACTGTGGGAGCAGCTGAGCTACAACTAAGGAGAGTAACTGGTCAATGCGTTTGAATAGGTTATTGAAATTTAAATAATTAAGTTTACTTATAAAGTAAATTTGGCAATTTCTATTTCTGCAACCTCAACTCAATTTCTTTTTCTTCTAGGAATACTTAATGCCATCAGTCACTGTCTATAAAATACTCAAAAAATAGCAGGATCCAAATCAGATCTGATAATTTTCCTTGAAAAGTTAAGAGTTAGTGAAATAGCACTGTACTTGGTGGTAGACTATTTTCTCCCATTAACCATTTAAAAACTGTTGGCAGATGGGCCAATTTTCCACTTGTTTCATTAATCTAAATGTCCTGTTTTATTTTTTGAATGACATATGTGTAAAGCACCACTGGACTAAGTGATTTTATTATTATAGCAACACAATACAATAGGTATTATGCTTTTTTATAGATGAGGAAACTGAATAAATTCAAAAATGTTAAAATTACAAAGTTCACACAGTGTCTGTACGGGCGTTGATTTAAATCCAGTGACTCTGAAGTCTGTGCTTTTACCACATGGCTGTATTTTCAGTATGATACACAGTATAGAGACACTATACTTTTTATTGCTATTGAAATCTTAATGTTATATTTTGGACTACCTACAATGATTCACTTTTGTGATGCTAAAACAAATTTAAAGATGCTTGCTGACAAAGCCATTGGATTACACAGTTCCACCAAACACCATTTTACCTCTCGTAGTATTCTGACCCTTCTTCTAAGCCGGGGAGAATACCAGTGAGCAATCCTTGCAGACCAGGCTTCAGTGTTTTACCCAAAGGCAAGTAATACATTTCATATAAACTGAGCAGTGTTGGTTTCACAGACATGGCAGCATTTGCAAGAAGAGGAAATAATCCAGAACTATTTACATTTTTTTGTAAAGGAGAAAGGGAAAGAAACAAAATTATGACAAAGTATTAATTTGTATGCACTTATATGTGTATATAAATCTCTTATTTTGATGAAATAAGTTGTACTGATTGACTTAAAAGGACATCGACAACTTCTTGTATACTGACAACTTCTATGAGGTGTGATCAAAAACTACAGTTAATATTTAAAATTTTAAAAGTATTACAGTAAAAGACGCACTGTCATTAATTCCCCTCAAAATATATTCCCTTATGTTTTCATTCACATGTCCCGTTGTTTTTGCCACTTTGTGAAGCGGTTCTGGAAGTCCTCCCTTGTGTCTTTAGTTGTGCTACCCCGGCTGCCTCAATTTCCTGAACTAATTAAAAATGTTTACCTATTACGGCCATTCTGGCTTTAGGAAAGAACCAGAAGTTGCATGATACCAGATCCTGCGAATAAGGTGGGTGAGGACACATGGTGGTCTTTTTACGACCCTGCCTTTCCACTGGATGGCACCCCAGCAGCACCACTGACTCTCTCTATATTTATCCTATCTCGTAAAGACAGCTATGAAAGAGGACTTCTAGAACTGTATCAGAAAAGCGGCAAGAGTAATGGGCCAATCTGAAGGGGATGAATGGCAATGTATCTTTTACTGTATAAAAGTTTTAATTAAAAAAATTCACCGTATATTGTGATCACACCTGGTACATCCATTAAAAACAAGCTCTCTCCCCTGAGTTCCATACTTATCAGCTCAGTAACTACCTAGATGTTTCATAAAGACTTAATATTTCACAATTCTGAAAGAGAAGTCTTTCTCCTTCAAAATCTGTTCCTTTTCCTATAATTGCCATTTTAAAATACAGCATCACTATCTAGCTGGCTAGCCAAAAACGGACGAGTGATTCTTAACCCCTTTTAAAAACTGCCTACTCCAACCTTCAATCACCAAGTTTTCTTGCCAAGTCACTCTTAGAAATTTTTGAACATAATAAATTTTATTCATCTCTACCACTTACCTGTAAGAGGCCACCAATCTCATGTTTATCATCTTAACAGGTCCACTGCATCAATACTGCCTGCATATTGTACTCATTAAAATTCTCATTTATTTCCTGTAGCCAAAGCAGCTTTTAACCACTTTTTTATGATTTAGCTACTGTACACCACTCTACAGCCCCATGTATATTCACCACTTTATTTGGGAATCTTCTATTCCAAGGACAGTGAAGGATTCCTTTCCGGTTCCTTTCAGAAACCTTCCATATGCTTTTCAAGACTTTTGCACATACTGCTCACACAGATAAAATGTACTTAGATCCTCTTTGTATGTCTGGGTGATTTCTAAACTTCCAGATCTCAGCCTACAACATTTTTTTTTTTGAGACTGTCTCCCAATTACACTAGGGTTAGGCCCTTGTTTATTGTACCCATGGCACTCAATGTTGTTTTATTAGAACATTTATCATGTTTTTGAATTAATGTGTGTCTTCCCCAACAAATTGCATCAGAAATGAAGGGCCTATAACAGTCCTTTTATTTCTGTATCCAAGTACTAGTACCATGTCCTGCATTTAGGAAACCATCACTGAGTGAAGAATCTCTCTTGCTTTTAGGCTGTAAGGAAAATAGAAATCATCTGCAGCTGCCCACTTTTGTGTCTCCAGTTGTAGACAGTTTGCACCTACGGATATCCTCCTTCAGCATTCCTCCATTTGCCCCAGGGCCCATGTCCCGCATTTGCCAGAACGCATAGCCATTCATTTTCCTTTTGCTTTCTCATAACTTCTTTTTTCTACCAGTACCTATGCTATTCAACACAAATGCAATGAAATCTTTTCCCATGGGAAAATCTTTTCCCAGAACTAAGTATGCCTCCCCATGAGTCTAAAAAGACAACAAATAATATCAACAACCAAACCTCCAAGCTTTTATTTTTAAGTAGCTTGAAGCTGCCACCCTCCCTATATGAGCTGTTAGGGCAGTGTGTAATGTATGTGTGTGGGTGTGTGTAGACCCATGTAAACATACACATGTATTTTTACACACACATTCCTTTTGATTTATCATCTTCTACCTAACCTTAAAGATAAAACTCTGGTTACCAGGGGTAGGAAGAAAAAAACATGTAGGTAAAAGATTATAAGACAGCGGTTAAGTAGAATGAATAAGTCTAGAGATTTAACGTACAACATGAGAACTATAATTAAAAAATGGTATTTGTGATTTTTACCACATGAATAGACTGGTTAATCTTGCCACAAAAATCAAAAGCAGGGTAACCATGTGAAATGAGTATAGGTTAAGTTGTTTCCATAAATTAACATATAGCCATTTTATTATCTTTATGTGTCTTTTAGTGTACATATTTAAAGTTTACAACATAATTGTTTAAAAATGATAAATTATGGACACAGATAAGGTTGTCCAAGGAAAGGATCTTAAGTGAAAATGTAAGAAGGTATAGAACTGAGTATGCCCTAAGAAACTGTATTTTGAGTTCAGGTAAAGAAGGAAAGGCTGGTGAAGATGACTAAGAGTACTAACCAAAATAAATGAGGTGCTGTGGAAACCAAGGGAGAAGATAATTTCAAGTGAATAAAGAACGGTCAACAATGTTGAAAGCTACTGAGAAATAGAGGTATCTTATTTTTCTTAGGCTAGTTTTCAAGCTTTAAAGAGCAGAATGTCCTCTTTTAAATGAAAGCTTTTCATAAATGACATCTAATCTAAAAAAACTTTAAGGAATGTTTTAAATTTTTGTAACTCATGTATATTTAAGAGTGTCATCAAAGACTTAATCATGGAGGAGATTTTTAGCACAGAAAATATATAAGAGATTAGCAATATATTTTTATTTCTATTATATTTAAACAGACACTGAAATTATTCTTACCTATATAAAAAAAGATCTTTGGCAAGTCGCTTAGGTCCAATGATTTTGAAGATAATTTCATATGTTTCAAGTGCCTTCCGATGAACACCACCTGGTAATGCTGGATGCAGACATTGAGCCAGGCGTTTGCCTATGGTCAGTTTTTTGGGTACTACCTGGTACTTTGCATTATTTTGTAGAACCTTGAAAAAATATTGTAATAAAGATGAAAAAAACTTTATTTTCATTTTCTAGCACAGCACTGTAAAAATTATCATTATAGCTTTTTGTCAGTCACAACTACTTATGTTTGAAATTAAAACTGAGGAAAATAAAAATATTAACACTGTTTTAGGTTTTCCAAACTGTTAATTTCTGACATAAGAGAAAACTGTGTGTGCATGTGTGTGCGCGCGCATGTGTGTGTGTGCAGTGCTGGTAGTGGTGGGTGGTGGTGATGGTACTGGGAAATGAACCTACAGCTGTAGCACTGAGCTACATACAGCTCTTTTTAGATTGAGATAGGGTCTAGCTAAGTTGCTGAGGCTGGCCTTGAACTTGAGATCTTCTTGCATGAGCCTCTAGAGCCACTGGGATTATACAGATATACCACCATGCCCAGCTAACAACCATTTTCTGACTGGTATTTTGTCTGAAACATATGTAGAAAATTGGACTTCACCGTAGATATTTTATTGGAGGAGGTATAACCACTGGTCTGGCATATGATGTTACAAGAAGTAATTTTAATGATTATAAGAAATCTACCTGAGACTATAATTTTCTATTTGTCTTCCTAAACTTCCCAATTAGAAGAAACAAAGTTTGCTTTACTTATTTAACTATAACTTTTTTTTAGAGATAATGGTCAGGGAAGGATTTTCATTAAGAGGATCCAAGATTATTTATATAACAAAAAGATCATCTAAATATATAGTCTTTGAAGTACTGGGACTCAGAATGAATATGGAATATGCTAGAACTTGAATAGAAGAAATATATTAAACGTCCTTCATTTTACAAAAGAAAAAACTGAGGTTGAAATATATAAAATGTACTGCCACCAAAATGTACTGTACAGTGGAGGTCAGAAATAAATCTCCCAGTTCATTATATATTTATTAAAACATGTATTCAGGCTATCTTCAACAATCCTTACTTTATTCCACTACAGATTTAGAAAGTTTTGTCAGTGATTCTTGAGTGTCTTACTTTGTATTGGCTGGATATATTAACTATATTCATGAATATTGATTAATATATAAAAACTATGTAATTACATGAATTAATTTCCATAATTTAATGAACTACCTTTAAAAACAGTTGCTTGTTTTTTTTTTTTTTTGGTTTTTCTCCGGTACCGGGAACCGAACTCACGACCTTGCGCTTGCCAGGCAGGCGCTTTGCCGCTGAGCTAAATCCCCAGCCCCCTAAAAACAGTTTCAAGTAAGAACTCTTCAGATAGAGAATCTAAGTACCTTGAAGCAAACTTATACTTATGGGTACAATTTCTGGTGGATGTTTTAAAGAAATTAAGAACTTTCCAAACTTCATATGATAAACACTAGAAGCTAACACGTCAAACAGACACTTGTATATAATTTTCTGAGGGGTGGTTTGAGAAGGGGTCTCGCTATGTAGCTCAAGCTGGCCTCAAACGTGTGGCAACCCTGTCTCAGCCTCCGGGGTGCTGGAATTATAGGTGTGCATCACTACACCCAGCTTTGTGTATCCAATTTTAAGACCTCTTGAAAATGACAGCTTTTACTTTAAAAATATTAAGATGACTACCATAGTTTCAGGTTCCAAGCTAGTGTCCTTCATTTGTATTATATATATATCTTTCCAAATAATTATATGCTGAGCTATTTGATTTTAACATAGTTACCATAAGGGTATTCCTTTCCTATCCAGCCCTTTTAAAATTTAGACACATCCTTTGTGAACAACAACCTAAAAGTTATGGCTGTGAGGTGAGAAAAATTTAATCTAAGTTAAACTACAACAGGGTCAAAGTGGAAAGTGAGCGAGTGAGGGCCAGGCATACGGGTCAGTGGCAAGTGTGAGGTCTGGAGTTTGATCCCCAGTACTAAACAAAAAAAAAAAAGAAAAGCTAAGTAAAAGTTGATCAGTGGTGGTGGTACTGTGGGTAAAACCAAACCTATCAGGAAGGATCGCTCAAAGCCAGGCTCGAAGGCATAAGTTACTGTATATAGAATTGCCTCTGTAAGAAACAAAGCAAAACAATAACAAGAAAAACCAAAATCACAACTGTGAATTGCCCGAATATAAAATACTTCCTTGTTGCTACATAGGTATCATTCGGAAAGCATACAGCAGGGACTGCTTTCTACTTGCTGTTTTGTATTTTGGTGCTGGGAACTTCAAAACTATATCTGATGCTGTTATGGAAACTTACTAGGTCTCAACGTTAGCATCTTTGCTTCACAGTCTTGTGTTTTTACAGGTATTAATTACTTCTCAAGCACTGCTGTTTTTCTGAATTAGAACTTATGAAGGGTTCGCAGTGTGCCTGACTATATAGCCTTGCAACTCATGAAGTAAAACAGCACTACAAAAATTAAACAATGCTTTACATTGTTCTGTTGTTTAAGATTTAGAGAAATTCTGTAACTATAAAAATAGATTTCTAAGTTTTATCCCTTTTGATACTGGATAAGACAAACATACCTTGTTAAGTTTTCCAAGTGCTGATATCAAATCTGCCCATTCACTGGAGTACTCAAAATTCTTTAGTGCTTTATCAATTGCAGCTACATAGTTTCTGTACTTGGAGTCACTCAGTAACTCCAGCTCTTCTGTGTTCATCCTCCCACAGCGTCCCACTACAGACCAGTTCCAGAGTCATGCAAAGTCATTACCTACAAAAAATTTGAGGGAGGAACCACGGTTACAAAGGAACGCACCAAAATGGGTTCCTATGGTCTTGCTAAAAAGGTAATGGCTAACTTGATAATGATTCTTAAGTGAGAAATGGTCACAATTCTCATCAGCTAGTGTACAGGATAGAAGTATTTAAATACAACTTCAAAGAGACCTAACTGTTTACTCTTTCCTAGAGACTTGAATTATAACTGAGAATTTAGGGATACAAAAACGAAAGTTTCTAATATTTATTTCAGTTTAGAAATCATATTATTTCTGTCACATTTACTGACAGAAAATTTCTAATATGCATACCCTTTGTTTTTATCAACAAATATAGTAAGACTGGTTAGACTGGTTTTTTGAATTTTTTGTTTTTTTTCCAGTACCAGGAATCAAACTCACGACCTTGCGCTTTCCAGGCAGGCGCTGTTCCACTGAGCTAAATCCTCAGCCCCTGAGACTGGTTAGATTGTAAACATCAAGGTCATGGGACCAACAGAATGAATACTTTGAAGATCATTAAGTAATAAGTGGGTATTGATATGAACAAACATTAGCTATTTGTTTTTGTTTTTTTTGGTACGGGGAATCGAACTCGTGACCTCAGGCTTGCCAGGCAAGCGCTTATGTCGCTGAGTTACATCCCGGCAAACATCAGCTATTTGGAATTAGATTTTATTTTGAATAAAACTGACAAAAATACATGGTGGTTTAAAATATGTCCACAAGTTGTTTGATATTGCTTTAAAAAAATAAGCCTAATCTTGCAGCTCCTTAGGCTACATTCTGTGACTCAAATTTAATGAAAATAAGATAGAAGAGAACATAAGTAATAACACTAGACAGTAAAGGTATTTCAGTCTCTTTACTCTGTTAGCACGTGTCCTGGGGCAAGCGTGCTGCCACTTTATGAGGTTACTTCAGGGAGCCCTATGGAGAAGTCCCTGAGGTGAGGAACTGAGGTTTTGGTCAGAGCCAGGGAGGGAGCCACCTTATCTTAGGAGCAGATCTTTCATTTCTAGGCCACGCTTTGATTTGACTGCAGACCCAAATGACACCTTGACTGTCAATTCAAAAAGACCCCAAGTTAGAAGTACATAGGTAAGTCTCAAATTCATGACCACGAGAAAGTTTTGTTTTAGGCTACTAAGGTAATTTGTTAGACAGCAATAGATAATTAAAAAAAATAACAAGGATTTAATTGAGTCTCAACTTAAAAGTCAGTGTGGCCTCTCCTCTACTTTTTTGTATCCTGCCTGACCTCTCATTGCCGGAACCTTTCCCTAGAGCTAGATTCAAGGGTCTGCAGGGAGGGCTAAGAATGAGCCTCTGAGAATGCCAATAAAATTCAATGGGGGCAAGAATTATCTCCTTGGTAAGCAGTCTAAAATAACTGGATGCCACATACAAAAGTAATTTGATTCCTTCCTCATATCTATATAAAAACTGACATAAAATGTATCACAAATCTAAATATAGCAACTAGATACTCTTACACAAAAAATAGGACTAAATCTTCCTGACCTAAGGGTAGGCACAGTCTATTCAGAAATCTACAAAACACAATAAAAGAAAAAATAAATTGTATTTCATCAAAATTAAAACTTTTGTCACAAAGGATACCACCAGAAAAGTGAAGACCACTGATAAAATGAGAAACTGTATTTCCCACACAGCTGATAATTTCCTGAACTAGATGCATAAAGAACTTCTAAAGTCAGTAATAAAAGGATAAATAATTTTAAAATGTACAAAGGATATGAACAGACATTTCTACAAAGAAAATACACATGTAATAAGTACATGAAGTAACACTCAACATCATTACTTATCAGCGAATGCTCATCAAGATAATACTTCATACAAGTTATGGAGAAACGGTGACACATGTATGTGTGTGGGGATCATTAACTGGTGCCACTGCTTTGGAAAACAAAGTGTGTCAGGTCCCAACAGGTCACACACATAATTACTAGAACACTCAGCAATTACACTCCTAGGTATGATACAGAACCAAGAGAAAGGTAAAACATGTCTGCTCAAAAACCTGTATAGGAATGTTTATAGAAGCATTATTCATGATAGCCCAAAGAGAGAAATAATCTTGGCCTCTATCAATAAATGCATGGCTAAATGAAGTACAATGGCATATTATTCAGCTATAAAAAGAATGGAACTACTAATACATGGTATAATGTATATGAATCTTGAAAACATGTTAAATGAAAAACTCCATTTCAAAGACCACATATGTCTACGATTTCATTTATATGCAATGTCCAGAATAGACTAACCTAAAGGGACAAAGTAAGTGGAGGTTGCTTACAGTGGGGTGAGGAAAACCACTGGGTGAAAACAGGAAGTGAAGTCCTAACAGCACAGGAGTCTTTAGGGGCTGATGAAAACGCTCCAAGACTGACCGTAGTGATGGTAATCCAACTCTGACTGTACTGAAAAACACTGAGGGTACGCTGCAAATTTATACATAAATAGGTGAGATGGGTATGTGAATAGTATCTCAAAGTTATACACACGGTTATATAAATAAAGGGCCTCACAGACTGCGCCTCAACTAAAATTCTATGTAAAATTTATATCCTGCATTTTACTTGAGATAGTATATCTCTTAAATATTTTCAAAAAAAAGTTTTTTACATAATTATCAAAAATGTTAGGAACCAGTAGAGAATACAACCTATGCAGTATTAGTAAAATGGGTAAGGTTTTGGTTCCTGATTCTCTGCCTCAGTATTTTCTTACCTATAAAAATGAAAACAAGGAGAAGCCCATCTTTGGAAAGCATAATCACTTTAAATGTAATCATGTGACATATGAAATTACTTTTTAATAACTGCGTAGCAGCCACTGTGTTTGCTGACTAGAGACAACATCTTTGTGAAGATACTTTTATTTTCAATCAGAAAAGAGTGGGAATGGAAAACAATGTAAGCCACAACACAATCTACTTTTCTTTGTAAAATTGTGAATATTTAAACGTAAAGGCTTAAAATAATATAAAGATTATGTGGAAGTAAACTCTCCCACCACATTATCAAGTAATAAATACCTTCATGCTCTGAAATCTCAAGAGTAGCAAGTGAAACAAAAAGCAGTATTATGAAGTACTACTCAGGATAAATTCACATCAAAATTACTTTTATTTTACAGAGTTGCTAAGCAATTCCCCTATTAAAGGCAAAGGTCTCTGAGAGCAGAAGCTGTATCTTTCACAAGTCTGTATTCTAAACCGCAAAAAACTACAATGAGGTGGCTCAAGCTGGATTCTTAACAAAAGTGGTTTCAGTAGAATGGTTTTTGTGTTTTGATTTTGTCACCATTGTCGTTCTTTTGTTAGTTTTTTTTTAAGTCTTTAAAAAAAAAAACAAGAAGAATGGTTAAGATTGGAGACAAAAACCCCAAAATTCTACAAGCTCTTTCATTGTCACTCTATAGTTTCTAATACTTTTACAAACTAGATTTAAGTACAACACACAATATATACACAAGGCAAACACTAGCATACTAAAAATGATAGCTTTGATACTAATAAGATACTTAAAACCTAATAGTGAATAACAGAATGAAGATTTTAATGAACAAAATATTTCTAGTTTTGTTTCTGAGACATCACAAGAAGGAAAAGCAAAGTAAAATTAAACTCAGGAAAATATCAACTTAATTGGATTTCTAAATGTATATAAAATAATTGAATTCCAATCAAACCTAAGAATGTACTGTATTAGTAGTAGATGGAATAAACCACATGCATAGGTCTCACTGACAGAGACAATATTTTTCTTTCCTGCACAAGATTTCCAAAATGAGATATAAAATAAAACATTTATTCTGAAAATATATGATAGTGTATGTGGAGATCAACCTGAAAAACAATTTAGTAGTAATTTCTAATAATGAAAATAGGAGTCATTTCTAGATAATCAGCATAGTACTATAATTTTGAAACAATATTATCTCAATAGACATAGTATATAAATGCCAACTAATAATAACCAGTTAAGTTTATACGTTTTATTTAGTATATAAATGCTAGCTAGTAACAACCAGCAAAGTTGTAACTATGTTTTGTAACTTGCGGAGGACCACAGGGTCAGCTCTCCCTGAAAGAAGACCATGTTTCCATTTCGCCTAAACCTTGCCCTAATTCCATGTATTGACATGTATAGAGCTGGCTAGGACAATACTCAACCCCTCAGTTGGCTTTAAGCAATACAGACAGGTCTGGCCAAGGAGCTGATGTTAGCCTTTGAAGCAGTGAGACTGGTCAGTGATGCCCCACCCATAGCTCCCTAGTATTAGGTGCAAGCTAGGCTGAGAGATACCCTGCTGTAAGCTGGGACTGAGCCTCCAGAAAGGGGCCCTGAGTTCTCAGGGCAAAAGGCCCAGATATCAAAGCAGAGGCAACTGACCCGAAACACAAGGTGCTTCCTCAAACTGTGTTATGCAGAATACTCCAAACTTAGAGGCTACCTGTTCCTGGAACAGGTGCTCTTTCTGCATACCTCTCTCAGCACATTGCAGAGGTGCTACTGAGCCTCGTAGCTAGCGCACTCACAGTACTCATGCACTTCCCGCCATTCTCAAAGTCACTCAACCCCGAGCCACTCTCGTCTTCATGAATAAAACCCGGGTTCAGTCCTGGCTGAGGCTTTTGTTCCAGTTAGCCATTGTTTCAACTGGACTTAGGATCCCCTTGGCTCTACATTACTGCAGATACGTCTCTGTCTATTTATTGTCGCTGTGGGTTGCACTGCAAGTGGTAGACTGGAATTTACTTACTAGAATTCCAATAACTTTTCTTTGGGATTACAAATATAAACTCCAGACCTTGACAAGGCCTGGACAGCTCTCATAGTAACTATAATATGATCCCATAGCTACAAAGTTGAGTCAAATAAGAAATTTTGATTTTCTTACTTAGCCAAAAATTCTAAATATTTAAATATCAACGATTTCATCAGTTCAGGATATTATACTTAAGATAGTGAAAGACAAATCTTATGAAAACAGCTGAAAAAAGGGAAAAATGTGGTTTCAGGTGCAGAGCTGAAAAATTTTATATATGTAAGTTTTAATATGAAAAGATAGACTAAGGACTAAATATTTATGATTTTAATGCAAATACTATTATTATATAGCAAAAGATAAAATGAATTACTTTTGAACCTCTCATCTAATAATAATACAAATTCAGTTCTCAGGCATTTTCTTTTCTCTCTAGTTTAGTATAAAATAGGTAAGTATTTCTCACAGTATTTGCAGTGAAGAACATAATATTTTCCCTGCAATCCATCACTGACACTTTTCTAAAACATAAAATCATGTGTTTAGTTGCTCCCAAATTTCCAAAAAGATTTCTAAGTGCTTACTTTCATCTCTGTGCTTGTGTGTGTGTGTGTGTGTGTGTGTGTGTGTGTGTGTGTGTCTTTTTGAGACAGGGTCTCACTATGCAGTTCAGGCAGGCCTTAAGCTCACTTTGTAGCCTAGGGTGATCTTGAACTTGCAATGATCGCTGAGGGTGACCGGAAAGGTCATATCTCCCTCCCTGGCTTCTCCGCCTCAGCCTCCCCAGCGCTGGGATTACAGGTGTGCACCACCACGCCCAGCTGTGCTTATGTTACTATGTTCTATTAACAAACAAGTTCATGAAAGATCCATATAGCACACTTTGAACATCATGGGCTTAGCTCATAATGCAAATATAGCATTTCTCATACTGGATCTAGAAAACTTCATACTAGGTATCTTCTCCAGAAAAGCACTAGAACAGAGAAAAAGCAAAATCAACTTGGAGTGTTTCCACAGAAACCCCAACCCATACAAAGGTAGTAAAAAACAGGGGTGAGAAGCACAGGGGTGAAAGTCAAGATAGCCTGAGTACAAATCCTAGTTTTAATTACTTGGCAGTGAAACGACCATGGGGAAAGAGCTTAATCTTCTTAAGCCTTAGTTTTCTCATCTTTAAAAGGAGATACTAAAACCTATTTTGTGGTACTGCAACATACTAGGGGTATCAGAGAGCTTGGCACAAAGAAAATGCTCAAAGCAGTTACTGGCACTCTCACTCACTTTCTCATTGCTGGGACACAATACCTGACACCCACAACTTAAGGTTTACTTTGGCTGACAGTTCAGTCCCCAGCCCAGGGCTCCAAGGCAGACACAGTACAGCAGAAGGGCCTGCGCAGAGGAAAGCTGCTCACATCACGGCTCTCAAGATGCAGAGAAGCCAGGGAGGGAGATATAACCTTCCAGGTCACCCTCAGCGACCTGCCTCTAACCACGCACCACCTACCAACAAGTCCGCCATACAGCACCCATGATCCCATCACCTTCTAAACAGGAGATTTGGGGGTCATTTTAGCACAAAGCTTCCTTTTCAATAAACTAAGAGATTTTTCCTTTGCCCTTCCTTCCCTTCCCTTTTCCCCTACCCTAGCTCCTCTTTCCTTTTGAACAATTTCTTCCCATTTCATAGTATCTACTGCACATTTTGGTCCTTATTTACTCTTTCAGTTTCTCACACCGGGGAGACAAGACGATACTTACACATGAGAGTCTGATTTATTACACTTATGAGTATGGTCTCAAGTTGCATGCATTTACCTATACATGTCTCTATCCTCAAGTAAAGGATATACATATCCTTTACGGCTGAATAGTACACCATTGTATTAAAAAATACATTTTTTAATTCATTCCTCAGTTGATGGGCTGTTAAAAATGGCTGTGAATGCTATAAGAAGGGCAACTTAGGATTCCTTCAAGTTTTAAATTCTTACACATAAGCTCTTTGTAAAAAGTAATTTAGAAGACATAAAAGTGCATATATATAAGTTATGACCTAAATGATTCATTAATAGGTAGCTGGGATTCTAATTTAAGATTGAAATGGCAAACAGCGATGATAATGATTAAACATATGCCCATGAGTTACAAATGATCATCTGGCCCCCAAATCACACTTGCCAAATAAACGCTGTCCACACATCGTCATCAGGATGATGACGATAACTGCACATGAAGTGGTCTTGATAATTATTTTGTGCTAGGTCTAAGCTCAATTCTTCCATGTGAGTTTTTTAAGATAATCTTCATAATAAATCCATGAGGCAGACATATTCATAGATCTATGAACATATGAGGAAATGCATGTTTCAGTTCCTCAGAGTTAAGAAGAGGCGGTAGGAAGAACTCTGAGGGCTGACTTCTTGGATTGGCTCTAAATTGCTACATTTCTTAACTATTTTTTTTCCCCCAACAGCTCTTACTACTTCTCCTGGGGATATGCTACCTCTCATCTTCTATTCAACTTTGAAAAAAACAGTTCATGCTGTAGATTTTTATTTGATAGAAACTGTGGGGAAATCCAGGTGAGACTCCTCCCATCTTTTAGGAGCTATAC